GGAGGCTCAGGGCAAGCAGGGGGCGTGGTCTCTGTACCTGTGTGATGGAGGCTCAGGGCCAGCAGGGGGCGTAGTCTCTGTACCTGTGTGATGGAGGCTCAGGGCAAGCAGGGGGCGTGGTCTCTGTACCTGTGTGATGGATGTCACTCCCGTATTCGTCCCGGAAACCGGATTCGTCCGGAAGTTCAGTTTGATCCAATGAGCATACACAGCAGTAGATTACGTCACTGAATCTGGACGGAAGCGGAAGTAAATATAAAAAACTACCTATTTATGCCTAAACTTAACCAGCCATTCCCATAAAATAACCCCAACCCAGCCTTAACCCTAACCTTAACCATCTTACTCAGACGCCTAAACTTAACCAGTCTCCATTTAAGGACATATTAAACTTTTTGACATGCGCAAACTGAACTTCCGGACGAATCCGGTTTCCGGGACGAATACGGGAGTGACAATGGAGGCTCAGGGCCAGCAGGGGGCGTGGTCTCTGTACCTGTGTGATGGAGGCTCAGGGCCAGCAGGGGGCGTGGTCTCTGTATCTGTGTGATGGAGGCTCAGGGCCAGCAGGGGGCGTGGTCTCTGTACTTGTGTGATGGAGGCTCAGGGCCAGCAGGGGGCGTGGTCTCTGTATCTGTGTGATGGAGGCTCAGGGCCAGCAGGGGGCGTGGTCTCTGTACTTGTGTGATGGAGGCTCAGGGCCAGCAGGGGGCGTGGTCTCTGTACCTGTATCTGTTTGAATCAAAATGATGCTAAATATACAATCCTCTATGTTCCTACGAAGAGACAACCTCCACAATAATTCTATATTGTCATGGACTTAATTGGCCTGTCTTGACATTTTTTGTTTTGATTTGTTGATTTTGTGCTGTGTGAAGTAATTACATGGATTAGGATTAGGATCTGATAAAAACACAAATTAGAGAAGTAAACTGTGCTTGCTTTTGTCTGAGGGACATTAGCAACAGCATGAATAGAAATGGTCTTTAAAGTAGAATCAAAGTGACTTAACCATAGAGAGTAACTATTGCATAACGAGCTGTGTACAGGAACTGAGACACTGCACCATTGACCAGAAGTGCATCTCAAATGACCTGATGTGCTTCAAGTGAAAAGACTGTATCTGGAGATCCTGATGTGCATCTGGAGAGACCAGAACCATGGCTTGGACCCTACTGATGTCCAAGATGACATCTCTCTATGACCTGAGCTGATGACGACTGAGACTCACCCTCAGGGGACCCTGAGGACCTGAGGACCCTGAGGACCTGAGGACCCTGAGGACCTGAGGACCTGAGGATCTGAGGACCCTGAGGACCTGAGGACCTGAGGACCCTGAGGACCTGAGGACCCTGAGGACTAGAGGACTTGAGGACCCTGAGGACCTGAGGACCCTGAGGACCCTGAGGACCCTGAGGACTAGAGGACTTGAGGACCCTGAGGACCTGAGGACCCTGAGGACCCTGAGGACCTGAGGACCCTGAGGACCCTGAGGACCTGAGGACCCTGAGGACCCTGAGGACCCTAAGGACCCTAAGGACCCTGAGGACCTGAGGACCCTGAGGACCTGAGGACCTGAGGACCCTGAGGACCCTGAGGACCTGAGGACTAGAGGAATTGAGGACCCTGAGGACCCTGAGGACCCTGAGGACCTGAGGACCCTGAGGACCCTGAGGACCCTAAGGACCCTAAGGACCCTGAGGACCTGAGGACCCTGAGGACCTGAGGACCTGAGGACCCTGAGGACCCTGAGGACTAGGGATGCACGTTTTCCAAAATTTCGTAAACCGTTAGTTGCACCTCCTGGCGGTAATTAATCGATTAACCGTTGCCCACCCAGAAAAAAGTGAAAGAACATGCACGTTCCTTTTTTTAACTGCAAAACACGCTAATCATATAGCTTATTATTTTAAACAACGCTAAGATAGGCTAACAATTTTAAAGTTCAAACATAGGGCTACAGTGTATTTTAACGTCACAACAAACCCAAAAACTTCAAGGCTGATTGGGTTTTCTGTAAGAAAGTTTTTTACTTCTATTTCCGAAGTATTTATTGCGTTACAGAAATATGCGTTTCCAAGCAATAATGCCATTGCTGTCGCTGTGTTGTCCTCGGGCCTTGAGGATGCGCTGTCCCGAGGCCTTGACGCGCTTTCCTGCCCCTGTTCTCCGTTGTCTCCATCAGCCAGTTCTCCCTCACCATCTTCCATGCACAGGATTTTTGCTGCCAGATCGCACAGTATTTGATTGGCCAATGTTTTTTTATCAGCGGACAAGAAACTCAGATGCTTGTGGCGTGGGTCCAACCTTGACGCGATGAATGCAGACGATGATAACGTGTCTCTGTTGTCAATCTACGCACGTAAATTAATTATATTTAATTTTTCACCAGCATGGACATTATGATTAAATGGTGTTAATGTTGTGCGTATTACATACCTTCATTCTTGTGGCCAGCGAGGTCCGGACTTTAGCTTTGAATTCCATTACGTGACGGGTGTCATTTTCTTTTTCTTGCAAGTGTCCATTGATAAGTCCGAATGTTATAGGATACCTGTTTTGAAATAGAAACCTCACGTTCAGCAGACATAACTGTAGTCGCGCACTTGAGTGCCCTGAGGGTTGGCATTGTATCTTCCATGAGCTGCCAGTGTTTGTCTTTTAGCTCCAAATGCCTTGCGTCTTGCAGTTTGGTTACAGATCTATCAGAGAGCACCGCGGTTATGGCCCAGCGCTGCTCCAACAAGCGCTCGAACATCTCTGCGACGCTGTTCCAACGCGTCTTACAGGACTGAATACGTTTGTGAATTGGAAGCTTCATTTGGTCTTGTTTCCTTTCGAGCGCTTTGGACGCCACTGTGCTGTGGTTAAAATGACCCACAAGCTTTGCAGCTGCTGAGATGACACGATACAAATGTAAAGAAAAACCATCATTTATTGCAAGTTGAAGCCCCACTTTTCAATAGATTCTTTGATCTTTTCTGCAAGATTTTCAGCTGTATGGCGGGCAGACCTCGATTCAGTTAAAAGCACAAATGATTTTAATTCCCAGTCCGAGTCGATTAAATGGCTAGTGATTGTTAGATAACTTTCCGTGTTCAGTGCAGTCCAACAATCCGTAGTAATAGCGATCCATTCCGCTGTCTGTACCAAGTCCTTCACGGTATTTTTTTTATCCTCGTATCTTCTTTCAATGCGTCTTGTGACTGCAGAGCGTGATGGGACTTTGTATCGGGGTTGAGTTAAAGCCATCAACTCACAAAATCCAGCGCCTTCCACCATGCTTATTGGCATCATGTCCTTCTCAATCATTCGGCAAATACCTTGAGTTATTGATTCGGCTTTTTCGTCATTGCACCTGTTCTGAGCAAGCATCGTGTTGATTGTAGGCTGGGTCGAGGCCATGGTCGAGGCCATGGTCGAGGCCATGGTCGAGGCCATGGTCGATGCACTGCCACTCGCGCAAGACACAGTCGGGTGGTGACTGTTTATGTGGTATAAGAGCGAGCTGGTACTTGATGCATATTTAAGTAAAGCATCACAATACTTGCATTTTGCCGTAACCTTATCCTTTTGTAGGATAAAAGGCTCCCACGCTGTACTTTTTCTCCGCTTCATCATGCATGAACATGTGCTATTGCTGCTTCTGTTGTTTTGACCTATGCGTTCAATTGTTGTGTGGCACTTGTCTGGCCTCTAGTGGCGCAAACATGGTGGTCAATGTGCGCATACTCGGTCACGTGCTTAATTGCAGTTAATCGATTAATCGGTTAACTATGAACACCCCTACTGAGGACCCTAAGGACCCTAAGGACCCTAAGGACCCTAAGGACCCTAAGGACCCTGAGGACCCTGAGGACCTGAGGACCTGAGGACCTGAGAGAGAAACCGGGGAGTGATGTTTATATTTCTAAAATCATACATTGATGAGTGCTAAATGAGAGAGATTCTCATGATTCTTTCTTTTGTTTTTGTTTGTCTCTAGCTTCTGGACATCTGATGATCTATTGGACACAGACATTTGCAGAACAAGAACCAGCCAATGAAAAACGTCTATTGCCGATGCTATTGCTACAACCAGAACCACAACTGTGACCAAATGCAACACATGAAAAGTATTCAGACATCTGACAGACAAACACTTTGACTTTTTAGTCTGGGAGACTGAGCAACTGTTAAAATGTTTTAAAATGATAAAGTATGAGTATTGTAGCGTTTTAGTAGATGTTAAATAGTAGTAAAAAAGTAGAATTTGACTTCCTTTGTTGTTCATAAACACATTTCCACATAAGAGTTAAAATAGTACTATACAATGTTATCTCTGATAGAGCAGTTAAAATATTAGAATCAGAATTATTTTAGAGACATTAAAAGTGACAGAAGTCACAAACTAGAAAAGTAAAAATAGAAATAGATAAATGCATCAACCATATGCTTTCAAAAATAGAGAATATTTGTAGCCAGTGCAAATATTTCTATTGTAAAAGGAGCTGTAGGAGCTATTTGCTTGATTGATTTAATTATTTGGGGTTTTGTATATTTTTTAATATTTAGTAATTTTTTGCTGAGGTTAGTATTTTTGTTTTTTGGTCATTTAGATATTTTTGTAGATTATTTTGGGTTTACTTCAGTTGGTTTAGTGGCACCTAGGGGATATAAGGGGGCAGTACAGGGCGGGCCTTCATGCACCTGGGTGGGCCTATGGTTTTTTACCAGTTCTGGGAGATGCAGCATTTTTGTGTTGTTTGCCTGAAACTTGATGAATAAACCCCTTTTTGAATTTTACATTTTTTGGAATGGACAATTGTTTATTTTTTGTACTGCGTAAACCACTTACCCATGGTGCATTCTAGTGATTATTTGAGTTTGTTCTTAAATTTGGTTACATTTGGTTTGATAGTCTATTTTTTGACAAATAGTCACTACAAGCGAGTAAAAAACCTTGCCCTTGAACTAACAAGAATACTCATCACATCAATCGAGTGGTTTCTTGCGGATAAATGCGTGGATGGCTGCGTAAAGTTTGTTTTGATTCATCGCCTTCGGGTCCTGATTGCTCCAGCTGCCTCACCTCAACAATCAAAGCCCTCCTGGTCTCCTCTGCAAATGGTATGTGGAGTATTACTAATGCTGTAATGGAAAACAGCCAAACGATTGGAGTTTGAAGATAGTAATTAACACTGCCATATTCAAGGATATCAATGGAGATTAAAGAAAGGATTGTCTGCAGTACCATTACGCACCACTAGTCGCAACAAGCCAAGTGAAATAAAATAAAGTTGATTGTTGCTCAGTGCCGCATTTATTCAAACAGTGGATTGTAAAAAAAGGAACTACAAAAGTCCAAAGGGGAAAATGTCGGACCTGTCGAAAGCCATTTCAGTCACAGAAAATGATGTGCAATCGTCAGTCAAGAGGAAAACCAAACTAACACCTGCTGGTCTGAGCTTTTACGTGCAAACTACTCAAGATAAACGGAAAGCCAAAATTAAACAAGCTAAAAGGCTTATGGAGGATTTGAACATTTTGATGAAATCCAAGGACAATGAAAATTCAGTTGTACAATACAATACAATACAATTTATTCTTGTATAGCCCTAGGTCACAACAGAAGTCATCTCAGAGGACTTAACAAAACCATTGAAATCACCAACACAGGTCAGAGAATCAACAGTTAAAACACATGAAGAATACAGTATAAAGCACACACAGAAGAAAATGTCCATACATGTTGTAGAATGCTAAAGTGTCCTGATCATCACCAATCCTTTCTGTTGGACACTAACTGTCCAACAAGACCCTCCTGCATCGACAAGGAAAAACTCTTAAAAAACCCAGTGGGAAAAAGTGAGAAAGTGAGAAAAAGTTGTGTCACTTTTCAATGTGTTCACGCAATGTCAACAAGACGCAAAAGCTGCGCATGATTCCTTCATCAATCTGGCACTTCCTCTTGATGAAATTGCAACGCAAAATGAATACTTCACAAATAAAATGACTATATACAGTGCATTCGTGGAGCGTGTCAGCGACTGGTTGCGTGATCTTGGTCGTGAAAATGTGCCACAAATTAAGGACAATAAACCACAAGAGGAGGACTTGGATTCTCGATTGGGATTCAGGTCTGGACTTTGACTTGGCCATTCTAACAACCTGGATACTTCTATTTGTGAACCATTCCATTGTAGATTTGGCTTTTTGTTTAGGATCATTGTCCTGTTGGAAGATAAATCTCCGTCCCAGTCTCAGGTCTTTTGCAGACTCCAACAGGTTTTCTTCCAGAATGGTCCTGTATTTGGCTCCATCCATCTCTTCCCATCATTTTTAGCCATCTTCCTGTCCCTGCTGAAGGAAAAGCAAGCCCAAACCATGATGCTGCCACCACCATGTTTGACAGTGGGGATGGTGTGTTCAGGGGTGATGAGCTGTGTTGCTTTTACGCAAAACATTTTTTTTTTATTGTTTTGCATTGTGGCACAAAAAGTTCGATTTTGGGTTTCATTTCTGACCAGAGCACCTTCTTCCACATGTTTGGTTTGTCTCCCAGGTGGCTTGTGGCAAACTTTAAACAAGACTATTTATGGATATCTTTGAGAAAATGGCTTTTCTTCTTGCCACTCTTCCATAAAGGCCCAGATTTGTGCAGTGCACGACGGATTGTTGTCCTTATGGACAGACTCTCCCCACCTCAGCTGTAGTTATCTGCAGTTCATCCAGAGTGATCATGGGCCTCTTTGGCTGCATCTCTGATCAGTCTTCTCCTTGTTTGGAGATGAAAGTTTTGGAGGGACGGCCGGGTCTTGGTAGAATTTGCAGTGGTCCTGATACTCCTTCCATTTCAATATAATTGCTTGCACAGTGCTCCTTGAGATGGTTTAAAGCTTGGGAAATCTTTTTGTATCCAAATCCGGCTTTTATACTTCTCCACAACAGTATCTCTGACCTGCCTGGTGTGGTTCCTTTGTCTTCATGGTTCTCTCTGCGCTTTTAAACAGAACCCCTGAGACTATTCAAAGAGCAGGTGCAATTTATATGGAGACTAGATTACACACAAGTGCATTCTATTTATCATCATCAGTCATTTAGGGACAACATTGGATCATTCAAAGATCCTCACTGAACTTCTGGACTGTAGTTTTGCTGCACTGAAAGTAAAGCGGCCGAATAATATTGCCACACACCCCACTTTTCAGTTTAAATTTTCCAATAAATTTAATTCCACTTCAAGATTGTGTTCCCACTTGTTGTTGATTTCATGACAAAAAAAAAAAGTATATCTTTATGTTTGAAGCCTGAAATGTGGCGAAATGTTGAAAGGTTCAAGGGGGCCGAATACTTTCCGCAAGGCACTGTATATGTCACGGGGGTGGAGAATGCCGTGTACCTTTCCACTGTCCAATTGGGGAGTACTCTATTAATGAACATGTGTCATCATGTAATTTTCTTCCCTTCATAACACCCATTTCTGAGTCGGGGGAGGCAAATCAGAGCTGCCACCCAAGTCTCATAGTACCAGCCCCTCTGATCCTCCTGCAGGTGGTGGGTCCAGCAATGAAGACATGGTCTGGTCCTTTCAGTGGGGGGCTTCAGATAATGTAGGAGATGGATTCTGCTCATCCTTTCCTTGGGACGTTCGTAGCGGCAACCAATCAGAGAGCAGCAAAGTGGTCACGCGGACATTAGCGGACTGAGCGAGCAGACTGAAAATACTCGTAAACAGGGCCAAAACAGGACCCACACCAGCTTCACCAGAAACTCAAACACAGGGTTTGACAATGGGGACTCTGTGCTTGTAGAAAAATATGCGTGTCATGCTCCTGTGACCTTATGCAACTGCTTTCGAGTGTGTTCGCCGATGCGGAAATGCAGTTTAACAATATGAAAAACACGTAATGGCGCACCTCCGTGAACACATACTACGTTGTTAAAGCCCGTGGAATGTCTGTGAGCAAAAGACAGCGCTGCAAAGCTGCAAATTAGATAAGATCTGTACACAAAGAAGCCGCTAGCCAAACTATGTTATGTGAGTTCAGACCAAACGCGTCTTGAGCGTCCAAAGCGTCGGGTTTACATCTGACATAACATGGGGGAACGCGCGTCTAGGAGCGTCAAGCGATCACGCGCCTCCCGCATGGTTTCACGCGCTGCAATTATTAATATTCTTTAATTCACATAAACTCCCGAGCAGCGCGTCTGGAGACAATAGAACCGCAGCGTGCATCTCGGCAGCGTCTGTGCCATTAGACTGCCACATGTATGTCTTGTGGATTCATGTTTGGTATACAATTGTGTCCTTAGGACATCTGGAGGGACATATAAATAGTCTAAAATTCGATTTATATTTACCATTTGCATAAAACCACATGTAGTGAGATCCTCAGGAAGAAAGACTCAGAGATACTAGAGTTACCAGACTAGTCTAATAAGATTATTGAATGACAAGATTTATGACATCCTGGCCCTTGCGCATCTAATAAGAGCTCTGTGCTGAATTGTTTCTTTGTCAGTCATGACCAGATCCCTCATTCTCTGAGCTGACCCAGGCACGAGCGCTAAGCCTCGAATTGGGACTCATGCAACCTGATTATGAGCCATTAAACTATTTCTTTTAATACATAACTCAGGAAGTGCATTCCTGTCTCCAACTCTATACTGGTTTGTGCGAGAACCCCCATCTTCTGCGAAGAAGATTTCAACTTTTGGCGTCACTTAACAGTAAATTTTTCAATTTTTAAGGATTTTTCAATGACGTCAAACATTTTGGCGTCACGACGGCAGTTTGGGCTGTCAGAACACAGTTTTTAAGACGACACATACATTTTTGGTGAGCTTTTTGGCCACAAATTTGCGACTCTATCTGAGACGGAGCAAGAGCAATTACAGCAGACTGGAGGGAAAGTGATGCCGGCTTCTAACAGGGTGAGAATTTCCCCCCAAACCCCACCTAAAAAAAATCTTTCTTCTTTGTGCTGTATGTTGGTTTTGCTCCGGAACCACGTATAGTGTTTTGGAAGGGTTTTAAATTTCTAAATTTGTTTTAGTTTATTGTTCACAAAGGTATCGCTTTTGAGAATAATAAATTTGTTTTTACGTTAGAATGAGAGACAAGAGACGTAAAAGGAATATGTCTCTTTAAGTAAAGTGTTGTGTCAATAGCTGTGTTGTGTCCTTAAGTGCAGGAAGGACAAAAAGTAAAGTGGGGTAAGACAGAGGAAGTGTGGAATGACGTATGACAGTGGTAAAAAGTGTAGAAGAATATAGACAGTTGAACATAGAAGTGTATAATTTACAAAGAATGTAGGTCCAGAGAACGACAGTAGACGACAGAGATATAGATAGACACAGAGACACAGAGAGACAAGAGACAACGAGGGACAAAACAGAGACACAGAGACATCAGAGAGACACAGAGACACAGAGAGACCCAGCAGAGAGTACACAGAGAGACACAGAGAGACGAGAGACACAGATAGACACAGAGAGACACAGAGAGACACAGAGACACTGGCACAGAGACACAGAGAAATTGAGTCAGGTATAGAGACACACAGTAGAGTGTGGTTGTTTATGAGATGTATACGAGTCGTAAGGAACAGAAGAGAGAGATACGTAGATTCCATATTGCGATGGCCTAAGAACAGAAGTGATGGAGACTATAGCAAATTAGACAACACAAGAGTGTGTTTATGAAGAAGAAGTTTCAGGGTTTATGTCAGGTTAGTTTTTATGTTTTTATTTTAAAACCTTGCTAGAAGTTTGATAACATGTCAAATAGGTCCAGTGTGTCTATACGTGTGTCTATATGGTGTCTAAAATGAGTCCGTCCTAAAAGCCTTTGGCAGTATTTTAAGGACGTGGTTTAATGTCAGTTACCATGGCCAGATGTATCCGACAATAGCTTTGACTCTATGATCCTTCAGTTAGAAATGAATTCCAAGCTAAATTTAGATTCTTAAATAGTGTTACCGAGGCCCAGGACAAATCTGACTAATTTGGATTAAAAATAAGTTATTTGAATTACTGTATCAGTGATGTTTAGATAAAAGGCATGACGTGTGAGTGAGTTTGTCCTCTTTCTGCAAACCAACACAGCTTACCCCCTCTTCCCCCTCTCTCCCCTCCCTCCCTGTTCCTGTTTAGAGAGAGAGGAGGACAGTGTCCCATTCTGTTTAACTCTGACTAGTACTCATTATTTGATTAAGTGCTTGCTGCATTGACGACAATTAATAAATAAAAAGGGTTGAACCAGTGACAAATAGTTCACTGGAGATAATAATATGTGTAACTTATACAATTATAACCTTTTGAAATTTGGCTTAAATCAAAGAATGCAAAGCTTTTCATTGAATTTTAACAGTCTAAGATTGATATTAAACAAGACTAGTTTAGATTTTTGGGTTTGAGATTTTTTGATTTTTATTGCTTATGATCAAACAAAGCTGCTATTTTGTGATCACAAGTGGACTTACACTTGGGGGGGGTTTGAATAATTTTTTGTTTTTTATTTTTTGTTGTTTTGAGAGAGTGAGACTAGTCATTTTTTTGTTGTGTGTGAAGTCCATTTCGTCCTTTATATTTTTGCCTTTGTGTAGTGACTGACTAACAATGGTGGAGTTATGTGAAAGATAGATATGTTAAGTGTTTGATATAAAAGCATTTTTGATGCCTAGGTTATTAAGATATAATAACTCTTTGTGTTAAATATCTCAGCATAAAACCAGTGTTGATTATAGTCATATTAATAATCAATGTTAGCATGTTTTAAAGACATTGAAAGTTTGATAGAGTTAAGATACACCAATGATCACGTTTGATTTGATGTATGATGACTCAAACTAATTTTTGTTTTTCTCTCTTTTGTGTTGAAACGAGAGCAAAGGTGTTGACCAGAGCCAGGTCCCGAGTGGAAAAAGACACCTTCGTGCCTTTCACAGATCCAGATGAAAGCTGCTCTCATCAGGTGCAGTGTATTCTATCCAAAAATGGTCCCCATTATGCACTGTTTGTAAGCATGACATCATTACACACAATAATCTGTTTATAACTGACACAGGAACTTTGGCTCACATGACTGAGCTGAGAGATTTATCTTTGGTCTAAAAATGATCAAAACATTTTTTAATTTAACCAAAATATGCTGCAATAATAATTGGGTCCGGTTTTATTCACTATTTAGGAATCCCTAAAAGGTGCATTTTGTTTCTAGTCTGTTTTAGATTTAAATAACATAAAAGAGTAATAGATTACCACAGCAAGTTTAAAGATTACAACACTTATGAAGTAAAATAGCATCAGTCAATAAAAATAAATAAAAAGAGAGATAAATGAGTTAGTTTCTATTGACTTACAATTGGGTTTGAAGCTATTGAGTAAAAATAGGATGGTGTTTGCTTAATCTCTGATTAAATTAAAAAATCAATTGGATGTGATCAAAGTTACCTTTTGAATTTTAATTAATTGCGCGGTTTTTATATGCTTTGCGAAAATGGAGCGCTAACAGTTTCCTAAACCTAGTTTTGAATAAACCTATCACACCAAAAGAAGGGTACAGATCTGGTATCTCTCTATGGTCTCTCTCTATGGTTTCTCTCTGGGGTCTCTCTCTTTGGTCTCTCCCTGGTCTCCCCCTCTATCTCTCTGGTCTCTCTCTGGTCTCTCGCTCTGGTATCGCTATGGTCTCTCTCTCTGGCCTCTCTCTGGTCTCTCTCTGGTCTCTCGCTCTGGTATCGCTATGGTCTCTCTCTCTGGTCTCTCTCTGGTCTCCCCCTCTGGACTCTCTCTCTCTATCTTTCTCTAGTCTCTCTGGTCTCTCTTTCTGGCCGCTCTCTCTCCCCGATATCTTTCTCTCTGGTCTCTCCCTTTGGTCTCTCTCTCTCTGGTCTCTCTCTCTTTGGTCTCTCTCTCTCTGGTCTCTCTCTCTTTGGTCTCTCTCTCTCTGGTGTCTCTCTTTTCAAACCAAATCGAGTCAGATGAAGAACATAGACCAACATGATTATTAGTGATTACATGTAACAGCAGTATTAAGAGTCTTAAAGGTGACGTGTGCATCAGTCCCTACACCTGTGTATGGTTTGGACTCTCACCTTTTCTACCAGTGCCACAGCTGCAGACCTCTTTAATCCTTGTGTGTGCTCTCTCACAGTGGACCGACTTCTCAGACCGGACTCTGGCTCGCTGTCCGCACTGCAGAAAAGTGTAAGTTCTCACGAGGCTGATAAAGCTGTTCTCTGGTCTCTCTGCGCTCTCTCTCTGGTCTCTCTCTGGTCACTCTCTGGTCTCTCTCTGGTCTCTCTCTGGTGTCTCTCTGCTCTCTCTCTGGTTTCTCTCTGGTCCCTCTCTCCCTTGTTTCTCTCTCTGGTCTCTCTTTGTCACTAACCCTGAACCTTTGTCTCTGTGGTTTGAAAGTTACGTACCTCAGCTTCAAAGCATGTAGATTATCAACTCTTTAATTTGATGTATTGACACTTCCTGTTTTGTTGGTGCAGCTCCTCCATTGGTCGGCGGTATCCCAGGAGGCGGAGTCTGCTGTGTTTCATGTTGTTCGTGGTCATCGCTGCTTCCACTGCTGGACTTATGGTGAGAGACCAGAGGGAGACCAGAGGGAGACCAGAGGGAGACCAGAGGGAGACCAGAGGGAGACCAGAGAGAGACCAGAGGGAGACCAGAGGGAGACCAGAGAGAGACCAGAGAGAGACCAGAGGGAGACCAGAGGGAGACCAGAGGGAGACCAGAGGGAGACCAGAGAGAGACCAGAGAGAGACCAGAGAGAGACCAGAGAGAGACCAGAGAGAGACCAGAGAGAGACCAGAGAGAGACCAGAGCGAGACCAGAGAGAGACCAGAGAGAGACCAGAGAGAGACCAGAGAGAGACCAGAGAGAGACCAGAGAGAGACCAGAGAGAGACCAGAGAGAGACCAGAGGGAGACCAGAGGGGAGAGAGACCAGAGAGAGAGACCAGAGAGAGAGACCAGAGAGAGAGACCAGAGAGAGACCAGAGAGAGACCAGAGAGAGACCAGAGAGAGAGACCAGAGAGAGAGACCAGAGAGAGAGACCAGAGAGAGAGACCAGAGAGAGAGACCAGAGAGAGAGACCAGAGATAGAGACCAGAGATAGAGACCAGAGATAGAGACCAGAGATAGAGACCAGAGAGAGACCAGAGAGAGACCAGAGAGAGACCATAGAGAGACCATAGAGAGACCATAGAGAGACCATAGAGAGACCATAGAGAGACCAGAGAGAGAGACCAGAGAGAGAAGATGCTTAAAACTCACTTTATTATATAACCAGCCATCTCTCTCTCTCTCTCTCTAAAACTCTCTCTCTAACACTATCTCCCCCCCCTCTCTCTCTCTCCCCCTCTCTCTCTTCTTTGTGTGTTTTGCAGGTGGGCACGTGGGCGTCGGCCAGGTCGTCCCGTGGGATCTATGCGTCCTGGGTGTTCCTCATGGTCCTAGCGTCCCTGACTCTGGCTCGCTCTCTGTACTGGCGCTGCCTGAAGATCAGCGAGCCCATCTCCAACGTCACATAGACTCTCTCGCTCTGCTCTCACTCATTTTACTCTTTCTTTTTTATGAAGGGGACCACTTTGAAGGACCTCGCAGGTTCTGTCCGCAGACGCTGGGACTGAGGATTGCACATTTGAGAGACGTTTGTGATGTGTGTTTGTGTTGTGTTAAAAGAGACGTATTCTGCTGAATCAACTATTTTTCTTTCATGTTTCTCTTCAGCCGAGAGCTTTGAGACCAGAGAGACCAGAGAGAGACCAGAGAGAGACCAGAGAGAGACCAGAGAGAGACCAGAGAGAGACCAGAGAGAGACCAGAGAGAGACCAGAGAGAGAGACCAGAGAGAGAGACCAGAGAGAGACCAGAGAGAGAGACCAGAGAGAGAGACCAGAGAGAGACCAGAGAGAGACCAGAGAGAGACCAGAGAGAGACCAGAGAGAGAGACCAGAGAGAGAGACCAGAGAGAGAGACCAGAGAGAGAGGACCAGAGAGAGACCAGAGAGAGAGCCCAGAGAGAGACCAGAGAGACCAGAGAGAGAGACCAGAGAGAGACCAGAGAGAGAGAGACCAGAGAGAGAGACCAGAGAGAGACCAGAGAGAGAGACCAGAGAGAGAGACCAGAGAGAGACCAGAGAGAGACCAGAGAGAGAGACCAGAGAGAGACCAGAGAGAGAGACCAGAGAGAGAGACCAGAGAGAGACCAGAGAGAGACCAGAGAGAGAGACCAGAGAGAGACCAGAGAGAGAGACCAGAGAGAGACCAGAGAGAGAGACCAGAGAGAGAGACCAGAGAGAGAGACCAGAGAGAGACCAGAGAGAGAGACCAGAGAGAGAGACCAGAGAGAGAGACCAGAGAGAGACCAGAGAGAGACCAGAGAGAGACCAGAGAGAGACCAGAAAGAGACCAGAGAAAGACCAGAAAGAGACCAGAGAGAGACCAGAGAGAGACCAGAGAGAGACCAGAGAGAGACCAGAGAGAGACCAGAGAGAGACCAGAGAGAGACCAGAGAGAGACCAGAAAGAGACCAGAGAAAGACCAGAAAGAGACCAGAGAGAGGCCAGAGAGAGAGGCCAGAGAGAGAGGCCAGAGAGAGAGGCCAGAGAGAGACCAGAGAGAGAGGCCAGAGAGAGAGACTAGAGAGAGACTAGAGAGAGACCAGAGAGAGAGGCCAGAGAGAGAGACTAGAGAGAGGCCAGAGAGAGAGGCCAGAGAGAGAGGCCAGAGAGAGACCAGAGAGAGAGGCCAGAGAGAGAGGCCAGAGAGAGAGGCCAGAGAGAGAGGCCAGAGAGAGAGGCCAGAGAGAGAGGCCAGAGAGAGAGGCCAGAGAGAGAGGCCAGAGAGAGACCAGAGAGAGACCAGAGAGAGAGACCAGAGCTGCAGACACTGCTCCCCCTGGTGGCAGCACAGGGAGTTACAGGGAGCTCTGACTGCAGACACTGCTCCCCCTGGTGGCAGCACAGGGATCTTCTCCTTCATACTTGTTTCTCCACATATTTTGTATAAAACCTCAGATTCTAAATCATGAATTACAACATAACTGTCTCATTATTGTTTTAACGGTTTAATATTTAGTTGTTTTTGTTAGAGGCCAGTCCTGTCCCTGATTGGTCAGTCGGCTTCAGGAGACTCTGCTCTTTACATTCATTATGTTTATTTTGGCATGAAGTATCAGGTGTCTTTAAAGCTTAGGTACGTAACTTTCCAGACACAACAATAGAACTCTGTGATGATATCTCTTAAACAGTTGCTTGTTTCAAGTAGTTTATGTCACTGTCACATTTTAAATCAGATTTTTCAGACGGAAAAGTGACAGCCAGTCTCAGCCAATTAGCTCTCAGCCAATCAGCTCTCAACCAATCAGCTCTCAGCCAATCAGCTCTCAACCAATCAGCTCTGTCTGACTCTAAATATATGTTTTGAATGAGATGGAGGCAGCAGGTGACGGTTTGATTTGTTCACAATATGTTACTTTTTCAAGACTATTTTTATCGGACAAACATTGATTACGAACAGAGAAAGCCAGGTACCTCAGCTTTAAAACCACTTAACCTGGAGGACTCCATAAAAGGGCATTACTCGTTTGTAAAAGTATGTTTTTTGAATCGCTCATTTTACATCTGTGTAAATCTGCAGCAACAAAACACGAGATTTAGAGAAGTGGATCCAGGAGAGAGACCAGAGAGAGAGAGACCAGAGAGAGAGACCAGAGAGAGAGACCAGAGAGAGAGACCAGGGAGAGAGACCAGAGAGAGAGACCAGAGAGAGAGACCAGGGAGAGAGACCAGAGAGAGAGAGACCAGAGAGAGAGACCAGGGAGAGAGACCAGAGAGAGAGAGACCAGAGAGAGAGACCAGAGAGAGAGACCAGAGAGAGAGACTAGAGAGAGAGACTAGAGAGAGAGACCAGAGAGAGAGACCAGGGAGAGAGACCAGGGAGAGAGACCAGGGAGAGAGACCAGGGAGAGAGACCAGGGAGAGAGACCAGGGAGAGAGACCAGAGAGAGAGAGACCAGGGAGAGAGACCAGAGAGAGAGACCAGAGAGAGAGACCAGAGAGAGAGAGACCAGAGAGAGAGAGACCAGGGAGAGAGACTAGAGAGAGAGACTAGAGAGAGAGACCAGGGAGAGAGACCAGGGAGAGAGACCAGGGAGAGAGACCAGGGAGAGAGACCAGAGAGAGACCAGAGAGAGAGACCAGGGAGAGAGAGAGAGAGACCAGAGAGAGAGACCAGAGAGAGAGACCAGAGAGAGAGACCAGAGAGAGAGAGACCAGAGAGAGAGACCAGGGAGAGAGACCAGAGAGAGAGAGACCAGAGAGAGAGACCAGAGAGAGATACCAGAGAGAGAGACCAGAGAGAGAGACCAGAGAGAGAGACCAGGGAGAGAGACCAGAGAGAGAGAGACCAGAGAGAGAGAGACCAGGGAGAGAGAGACCAGAGAGAGAGACTAGGGAGAGAGACCAGGGGGAGACCGGAGAGGGACTGTAGAGACCAGAGAGAAAGTTTAGTGAGAGACTGAAGAACAAATTTAAATAAAATGTGTTTTGTTGTAATTTGTACAAAGTGTAAATGAATCGTGTGAACTTTGTTGATTTAAATGTTAAATACATTTACTCCGTGTCCAAAGTCTCAGTCTCAGATGGACTTCCTGCAGACGAGTCCTGACCAAGACTTACACGAGAGAAGTCTCCCATGAGCCAAAGACCTCTCTCAACCTGGAGACCTGGACCTGGACTTGGACTCCTGCGCAGAGACTTGACTTGGACTCCTGGACAGAGACCTGGACTTGGACTCCTGGACAGAGACCTGGACTTGGACTCCTGGACAGAGACCTGGACTTGGACTCCTGGACAGAGACCTGGACAGAGACCTGGACTTGGACTCCTGGACAGAGACCTGGACTTGGACTCCTGGACAGAGACCTGGACTTGGACTCCTGGACAGAGACTTGGACTTGCTGGTCCGGGACTTCATCCTTTGGACCAGGCAGGTCCAAACTCAGGCCGTGGGCCAATTGCGGCCCTCTCTCCCATTTTATGTGCCCCTCTGCTGCTTACACAAAGTCTCCATTGATGCACTTTGACAGTGTCATCCAGCCAACTCCAGCTCCACCAACACACTCTGTACCGTGTTGTAAATCTCAGACCCTCTGGAATCCAGTCGTCGACTTCATTGTTATTTACTGACATTTGTTTTATGATTGTGTCACAACTTTCCAAATAAATCCATTTTAAATTCCAGAATCCAGTCAATCCAGTTTTAAATCCCGGTCTTCGGTCCAGGTCAAGTCTGATGAACCAAACTGGCTCTTACTAAAAGGTTTGGACACCCCTGCTGTAGGTGCCAGAGGATTAATGTGTTAATAACTTAGAGAAATGATAAAGACGGCCCAAGTAGAGGACGCCGTCATCTACTTCCTGCAGCGGACGCTCTCCCACCTGGAGCCTGCAGGGGGCGCTGTGAGGGTCACCATCAGACCGGCACTGCTGCGGGGGAAGATGGAGGACCAGGAGTTGTCCACTCATGGCCAAGGAGATGGTACCTGTGCTAACACCAGTAAGACCAAGGAGATGGTACCTGTGTTAACACCAGTAAGACCAAGGAGATGGTACCTGTGCTAACACCAGTAAGACCAAGGAGATGGTACCTGTGCTAACACCAGTAAGACCAAGGAGATGGTACCTGTGTTAACACCAGTAAGACCAAGGAGATAGTACCTGTGCTAACACCAGTAAGACCAAGGAGATGGTACCTGTGTTAACACCAGTAAGACCAAGGAGATGGTACCTGTGCTAACACCAGTAAGACCAAGGAGATGATCATCGACTTCAGGAGAACACTTTCCCACACGCTGCTGAACATCCAGGGGGAGGACATTGAGCTGGTGACAGCTTCAAGTACCTGTGCTCACATTAACAATAAACTGGACTGGTCCATAATACAAACGCCCTGTACAAGAAGGGCCAAAGTCGCCTCTTCCTTCTGAGGAGGCTGAGGTCCTTCTGAGGAGGCTGAGGTCCTTCTGAGGAGGCTGAGGTCCTTCTGAGGAGGCTGAGGTCCTTCTGAGGAGGCTGAGGTCCTTCTGAGGCTGAGGTCCTTCTGAGGAGGCTGAGGTCCTTCTGACGAGACTGAGGTCCTTCTGAGGAGACTGAGGTCCTTCTGAGGAGACTGAGGTCCTTCTGACGAGACTGAGGTCCTTCTGAGGAGACTGAGGTCCTTCTGACGAGACTGAGGTCCTTCTGAGGAGACTGAGGTCCTTCTGACGAGACTGAGGTCCTTCTGACGAGACTGAGGTCCTTCTGAGGAGACTGAGGTCCTTCTGACGAGACTGAGGTCCTTCTGAGGAGACTGAGGTCCTTCGGAGTGAGCAGGCCTCTGCTCAGGACTTTTTATGACTCTGTGGTAGCTTCTGCCATTTACTACGCTGCCGTGTGCTGGGCCCCGGGCAGCACAGAGTGGGACAGGAGCAAACTGAACAAGCTGGTCAGGAGGAGGTGAGGGACAGGAGGCCCCTGGACTCTGTGGAGGAGGTGAGGGACAGGAGGCCCCTGGACTCTGTGGAGGAGGTGAGGGACAGGAGGCCCCTGGACTCTGTGGAGGAGGTGAGGGACAGTAGGCCCCTGGACTCTGTGGAGGAGGTGAGGGACAGGAGGCCCCTGGACTCTGTGGAGGAGGTGAGGGACAGGAGGCCCCTGGACTCTGTGGAGGAGGTGAGGGACAGGAGGCCCCTGGACTCTGTGGAGGAGGTGAGGGACAGTAGGCCCCTGGACTCTGTGGAGGAGGTGAGGGATAGGAGGCCCCTGGACTCTGTGGAGGAGGTGAGGGACAGGAGGCCCCTGGACTCTGTGGAGGAGGTGAGGGACAGTAGGCCCCTGGACTCTGTGGAGGAGGTGAGGGACAGGAGGCCCCTGGACTCTGGAGGAGGTGAGGGACAGGAGGCCCCTGGACTCTGGAGGAGGTGAGGGACAGGAGGCCCCTGGACTCTGTGGAGGAGGTGAGGGACAGGAGGCCCCTGGACTCTGTGGAGGAGGTGAGGGACAGTAGGCCCCTGGACTCTGTGGAGGAGGTGAGGGACAGGAGGCCCCTGGACTCTGTGGAGGAGGTGAGGGACAGGAGGCCCCTGGACTCTGTGGAGGAGGTGAGGGACAGTAGGCCCCTGGACTCTGTGGAGGAGGTGAGGGACAGGAGGCCCCTGGACTCTGGAGGAGGTGAGGGACAGGAGGCCCCTGGACTCTGGAGGAGGTGAGGGACAGGAGGCCCCTGGACTCTGTGGAGGAGGTGAGGGACAGGAGGCCCCTGGACTCTGTGGAGGAGGTGAGGGACAGGAGGCCCCTGGACTCTGTGGAGGAGGTGAGGGACAGGAGGCCCCTGGACTCTGTGGAGGAGGTGAGGGACAGGAGGCCCCTGGACTCTGTGGAGGAGGTGAGGACAGGAGGCCCCTGGACTCTGTGGAGGAGTTGAGGACAGGAGGCCCCTGGACTCTGTGGAGGAGGTGAGGGACAGGAGGCCCCTGGACTCTGTGGAGGAGGTGAGGACAGGAGGCCCCTGGACTCTGTGGAGGAGGTGAGGGACAGGAGGCCCCTGGACTCTGTGGAGGAGGTGAGGGACAGGAGGCCCCTGGACTCTGTGGAGGAGGTGAGGGCAGGAGGCCCCTGGACTCTGTGGAGGAGGTGAGGACAGGAGGCCCCTGGACTCTGTGGAGGAGGTGAGGGACAGGAGGCCCCTGGACTCTGTGGAGGAGGTGAGGGACAGGAGGCCCCTGGACTCTGTGGAGGAGGTGAGGGACAGGAGGCCCCTGGACTCTGTGGAGGAGGTGAGGGACAGGAGGCCCCTGGACTCTGTGGAGGAGGTGAGGGACAGGAGGCCCCTGGACTCTGTGGAGGAGGTGAAGGACAGGAGGCCCCTGGACTCTGTGGAGGAGGTGAGGGACAGGAGGCCCCTGGACTCTGTGGAGGAGGTGAGGGACAGGAGGCCCCTGGACTCTGTGGAGGAGGTGAAGGACAGGAGGCCCCTGGACTCTGTGGAGGAGGTGAGGGACAGGAGGCCCCTGGACTCTGTGGAGGAGGTGAGGGACAGGAGGGTGCTAGTCAAAGTCACCTCCATCATGAACAACACCTCCCACTGCACAGGACTGTAGAGGAGCTGAGGAGCTCCTTCAGTGGAAGACTGAGACACCCTCAGTGCAAGAAGGTGCAGGGCCTTTATCCCCACCGCTGTCAGACTGTACAACAAGTCACTTTAAGTCACTGCATAAAGACTGAAAAACCTGCACTACTACAGACACTTCTTTTTGTACATAATTTATCCTGCATTTATCACACGCTCCTCACAGCAGCAGGAGAACGCTCCATTGAGTTGAATGTCATTTCAAAACGTTCTACCGGTCATTATTTTCTATAACGGACCTCTCAAAACAGTAATGACCGCTGCCCTTTGGCAACGCACTCTCTGCTTGTCTTTCAAATGCGTGGATAACTCCGACAGTAGTTCCGGCCACTCCTGAGCTAGCCACGCTCAATCAACACACTTAAATGTTAATCGGAGAATACTTATACATATACATTCTTCACACACGTGCACGGACATTTTCAGAATTTTCTGGTCTTGTCTTCATGACAAAAACACTGATGTAATGCGAGAAAAGGCGATCCCGAAAACCCGGAAGTAGATACCGGCACATTTTAGGAACATTTGCAGAGGATGGAATTATGGATTTAGGTTATGTTTATGTTTGGGTCACTCACCGCTGATGTTCAGGATTCTGTGTTCAGTTTTCATGCAGTTCCAGAGAGTTCTAGTTTGGAAGTTGAACAGTGGATGGACTCTGCGGAATCCAGAGTGAGTAATGTGGAGGACAGAGGCCTGCGGCAAGAAAGAACAAGCCTACCTGATAAACAAGGATGCTAAGCTAACCGCACGGCAAGAAGACCTAGAAAACAGACTCCACAGAAACAATATTAGAGTCTACAGTGAGCCAGAGGACACGGAGGGAGATATTCCCAATTCATGACGAACTTGTTCCAGACATGTTTACAGTTGCAGGAGGATTTGCATATTCAACCTGAGAGCAGCTACACTTAAACCTGCGCGGACAGAGCCGCCGAGATCCATAATTGTTTGGTTTTTGGACTTTAGCGTGAAACAAGTGGTGCTCCAACAGGCGTGGAAGGAAAATGAATCTATTTTGATCAGGATTATTCACCTCCAGAGGAAAAGGAAGCAGGTGCGTGAGATCGTCAAAAGGCTTAAAGAGCGCAATGTAAGGGCACAAGTCCCAAACCCAGCTCAGCTACGCAGGTTTCTGGACTCTGGTGTTAAGACTTTCCCGTCTCTGTGCGGCGCCCAGTCAACTCTAAAGAGCTTAGGAGTGAACGAGCAGATTGATAAACGGGACATTTTGGAAAGAGAATTCCAAAACAGATGGAGCACCCAAGGCAGAAAGAAGAGCCGAACCTCACTCCCAGAGAATTAAGAGCCCTCCGGAGCGGCGTCGATCAAGAGGACACGGCTGGAGAATAAAACATCTCTGGTGTTTTACACATGTATAGACATTAAACAGTGGGTGATGTGAAAGGTTAAATCAGACACAAATATAACAGGCAATTTCTGGTGTGAGTTTGTTTTTAGTTTGGGCCGGCACAGGATAATCTTCTTCTTCTTTTCCCCTTGTCAGCGGGACCGGGGCATTACTGCAGCAGAGACTTGGACAAATGCAGTCTGCTTACACTGTTTGTGCACCTGCTCCAGGGAATCTCACTTCCCTGCCCTTTTCACACCTTCAGTTCAGTTATCAAAAACAACCCTCGGCATTGTTGGAAGTCCATTGTTTTTGTTTGCGTTCATTTTTGACTGTGTTTACTTATTTGCAGACGGTCAGTATTGGTGAATTAATTTGTAAAGATTGTCACGGTAAACTGTGATTTCAGGTACGTTTCATTATGAGTATTGTTAGTTCCAACGTAAATGGATTAAACAACTCTATCAAAAAGAAAGTATTAGGACAGTTACGAAGCTTGACCCGTTGTATTGGGCTAATACAGGAAACCCATTTAAAAGGTTTTGGACACACAAAGCTGAAACCAGAGTGGGCGGGGCAAATGTTCTGCGCCTCATTAAAATTATAATAAAAAACGGGAGTGCCCCAAATTAAAGAATTTCTGGGAGGAATTTTCAAACATTTTGCACACCAATACTGAATGTGGCCCACTTTCTTTTGTCTTTGGTCTCCTCCCTCCTGATTATTTAAGCAAACACTTTCAGGATACTGGTGCCGGTGGCTGAGACATTAGTATCTGTCCTGATTGAAGCCACTGCCCCCGACAGTCACTGAGAAGATGGATTAAAGTTTATGCAATGGAAAAAGTAACAGCAAACCTTAATGTGGAGATGGTTTTGTTTGAGAAATTATAAATAAAAACTATAAAATATAAAATAAGAAAAAGTTTAATAAAGCTTTATCGATGTGTTATGATGTCAAATAGTGTCAAATAGTCTGGAGTTAGTCCCAAACACTGAGCACAGTATTTGAGTCTACAACATTATTCTGTGTTTATTGCACACATTCGACCTTACTCACTCTGAAACAGCTACACATATAAAACAACTTCACAGAGTAAACTTCATAGAGTAAACTTCATAGAGTAAACTTCACAGAGTAAACTTCATAGAGTAAACTTCTTCATAGAGTAAACTTCACAGAGTAAACTTCATAGAGTAAACTTCATCGAGTCAACTTCACAGAGTAAACTTCATAGAGTAAACTTCATAGAGTAAACTTTATAGAGTAAACTTCATAGAGTAAACTTCATAGAGTAAACTTCATAGAGTAAACTTCTTCATAGAGTAAACTTCACAGAGTAAACTTCATAGAGTAAACTTCATCGAGGAAACTTCATAGAGTAAACTTCATCGAGGAAACTTCATAGAGTAAACTTCATAGAGTAAACTTTATAGAGTAAACTTCATAGAGTAAACTTCATAGAGTAAACTTTATAGAGTAAACTTCATAGAGTAAACTTCATAGAGTAAACTTCATAGAGTAAACTTTATAGAGTAAACTTCATAGAGTAAACTTTATAGAGTAAACTTCATAGAGTAAACTTCATAGAGTAAACTTCATAGAGTAAACTTCATAGAGTAAACTTCTTCATAGAGTAAACTTCACAGAGTAAACTTCATAGAGTAAACTTCATCGAGGAAACTTCATAGAGTAAACTTCATAGAGTAAACTTCATAGAGTAAACTTTATAGAGTAAACTTCATAGAGTAAACTTCATAGAGTAAACTTTATAGAGTAAACTTCATAGAGTAAACTTCATAGAGTAAACTTCATAGAGTAAACTTCATAGAGTAAACTTTATAGAGTAAACTTCATAGAGTAAACTTCATAGAGTAAACTTTATAGAGTAAACTTTATAGAGTAAACTTCAGTAAACTTCATAGAGTAAACTTCATAGAGTAAACTTCATAGAGTAAACTTCAGTAAACTTCATAGAGTAAACTTCATAGAGTAAACTTCATAGAGTAAACCTGAGCTCCTTTGGCAGGGGCACGGTGGCTTTAGAGGCCTGTGGAGCTGGAGCAGCTGAAAGGAGAAGTGTTAGTATCGTAATGTTGACATTAAACAATGAGCTACGTACATAAACTAGAAGGCTCTAGCTTTAAAATGATGCATCACACAAGCATGTGAGATGTAAGACGTGTTTTTAAATAAACAAAGACATTTGGGTTTGCTAAACTCTTGTGCACGAGCCAAACCAGATGTCGGAGTGTAAGAGTTAAGAAGAGGAATAGCTGCTGTTCTCTGATACGATCGTGCAGATGAACAGAACGGTTCAGACAATAAACACAACTATATTTGAAGCATCGTAGGAACGTGATGACGCTCAGGGGGTTACATTTTCTACAAACATTAGAACGCAATATTTTTGGCGATAATTTGTGTGTAAGAATAAAAATAGGTAACGCTTTATATTAAGGTGTGCTTGTTAAGTATTAATAAGGTATTAATAGACATTAGCATCATGCTTATAGATTGCTTATACTTATAAACATATTAATAAGCTGCTCATTTAACTATTCTCTAAATGATGTTGTTCTAGTTATATGCTTTTAAGCATTTAATAAGTAATTAGTAAGATACTTATTAAAGGAGGAATATGTTTATAAATATATGAATAAGCTGCTTATTAAACTATTATCGATACCATGTTAATAGGCCACTAACAATATGCCTATAAAGATATTAATACGCTGCTTATTAATAGGTAATAGTGGTAATAGGCCACTAAAAATATGCGTTAATAAACTGCTTATTACACTATTTTGCAGTACCCTAATCTAAAGCGAGGAGCATTTTTGTTAATGCAGAAAAAACACAACATTGATCTAAGATGTTTTTATTTATTCAAACAGCAACAATTACAGTCTAAATGAAAAAATATATCAAAATGAAGTTTGTGCCAAAAGTTTGTTAGTAACTTCAGGAGCCATGATGAACCCACTCATGCTCCGACCTGCTCTGTTCATGAATTTGGCTTTGGCAAAACAGTGAATCAACTGACTTCACGAGCCTGAGAGATTAGCGGAACTCGCCTATTTTTGGGCATCGCCTGGTCCTCCCGGTTCTGCGCAGTGGACGAGCTCCCATGATGCTTTGCGCCAAATACGCGTGCGTGGCTGTCATGCACGTGCACATGGGGCAGCTCTGACCAATCAGAGCTGCTGATCAGAGCGAGAGTTAGAGCGGGAGCCAGACGAGTAGAGTTTGTGGCAGTAAAATGTGGATTTAAAGGACAACTCACCCTCAAATCCACTTTTTTTTGCTGATAAACGGTATAAATGAGTGTCCAATAGTGTTGTCTACATATCCTGGTCATAATCTTGTCACTTTGGTGCAAATTAGTTGAAAGTTAAACTTTCTGCCTAAAACCGTCTGTGAGGCGCCATCTGCTGGCGACCTGTATTACTACATTTGAATTTTGAATCTGGCGCCAACACTGGCACAGAAGTTGGACCTGACGTCTGAAGCAAGACCTGACGTCTGAAGCAAGACCTGACGTCTGAAGCAAGACCTGACGTCTGAAGCAAGACCTGACGTCTGAAGCAAGACCTGACGTCTGAAGCAAGACTTGACGTCTGAAGCAAGACCTGACGTCTGAAGCAAGACCTGACGTCTGAAGCAAGACCTGACGTCTGAAGCAAGACTTGACGTCTGAAGCAAGACCTGACGTCAGCAGCCCCCCGCCCAGAGCTATATAAACGGCCCAGTCTCGTCCACGCCCCCTTCAGTCCTCCAGGCTACGCCCATTTAGAGGAAGATTTGAACAGGAAATGTGAGTGACGTGAGCTCCGGGAGCGGGGGTGAGAACCACTTTAAAGAAAACTGAAGGATTTAAGAAGAAAAAAAGTTCAGGATGACAAGGGACACTAAAATCCCCAGAAAATCCGAACTTTATGAAAGCTGTGGGTTCTCTATCAGGTTCTCTGTCAGCTGAGGTCGAGCTGTTTTAATTTACATTGAGTTCTATGGGACTTTTTCTGGGTAGCCCTCTGTACCCATGGGTGGGACAGCTATAAGCTAGGAAAACACTATCCAGTTATTATTATAGTTCCATGGTTGTGCCACAGGTGCGTTGTATACATGGATCTATTATAATAACTGGATATAGGGTATTACTAGCTTGTAGCTCGGGGGATTCTCGTTGTTCGGACTTTTTATGTTATAGCCCTCCGAAGGGGCTAACGGCAGGCAGCACACATGGCATGACTCGTGTTTGTCATATTTTGTTAATTTATTAGAACAAATGTTTGACCACAGGTCATAAACCTGGAAAGAATAAAGAAATAAACAATTACCACTAATTGTCCCTTTAAATTATCTGTCCCTGTCCCCTTCCATGGTTCTGGACTTGCTTGAAGCGCTGGTCTTTGGTGGCATTTTCCAAAAAAGTAATGCACTACGTGAGAAATACGTAGAAGCAGTGGTAGTTGCTTGTTGAGAGTCCTTTAATGGTGTATTTTGAGGTTATTCAGAATTTTGGTGGAGAGCACTGACAAAACACGTCTACATCCTATGCCTGCGCACTAGCGCCCCCCGATAATTTAAACTTTTTTAACAAATAAAAAACTGAAAAGTGGGGCGTGCAATATTATTCGGCCCCTTTACTTTCAGTGCAGCAAACTCAGTCCAGAAGTTCAGTGAGGATCTTTGAATGATCCAATGTTGTCCTAAATGACTGATGATGATAAATAGAATGCACCTGTGTGTAATCAAGTCTCCGTATAAATGCACCTGCTCTTTGATAGTCTCAGGGTTCTGTTTAAAGCGCAGAGAGAACCATGAAGACAAAGGAACACACCAGGCAGGTCCGAGATACTGTTGTGGAGAAGTTTAAAGCCGGATTTGGATACAAAAAGATTTCCCAAGCTTTAAACATCTCTAGGAGCACTGTGCAAGGAATTATATTGAAATGGAAGGAGTATCAGACCACTGCAAATCTACCAAGACCCGGCCGTCCCTCCAAACTTTCATCTCAAACAAGGAGAAGACTGATCAGAGATGCAGCCAAGAGGCCCATGATCACTCTGGATGAACTGCAGATAACTACAGCTGAGGTGGGAGAGTCTGTCCATAGGACAACAATCAGTCGTGCACTGCACAAATCTGGCTGTAGCGACTTTAGCTGAATGAATGAAGGCTCGTACTGATGCATGTGCCCATTTTCCGTTTTGAATGTAATTGCACAAATTCACCGTAAGAGCTAAAAACCATTAATACATTGAATCAGTTAAGCAGACAAAGAATCATAAAAATCACATTAAAATACACACCTTTATCCCCTTTCAGCTAGGCGCTAACCATTTAAACAGTTAAGACCGTACTGTCCCAAGCCCACACACCGTGTGACATTAAGTACAATCTGGAAGCAACCGGAAGTTGCCCCGACAGACTTCAGAATAAACAAAACGTTCCTTACACTGGCCTTTATGGAAGAGTGGCAAGAAGAAAGCCATTTCTCAAAGATATCCATAAAAAGTCTGGTTTAAAGTTTGCCACAATCTACCTGGGAGACACACCAAACATGTGGAAGAAGGTGCTCTGGTCGGATGAAACCAAAATCGAACTTTTTGGCCACAATGCAAAACGATATGTTTGGCGTAAAAGCAACACAGCTCATCACCCTGAACACACCATCCCCACTGTCAAACATGGTGGTGGCAGCATCATGCTTTGGGCCTGCTTTTCTTCAGCAGGGACAGGGAAGATGGCTAAAATTGATGGGAAGATGGATGGAGCCAAATACAGGACCATTCTGGAAGAAAACCTGTTGGAGTCTGCAAAAGACCTGAGACTGGGACGGAGATTTATCTTCCAACAGGACAATGATCCAAAACATAAAGCCAAATCTACAATGGAATGGTTCACAAATAGACGTATCCAGGTGTTAGAATGGCCAAGTCAAAGTCCAGACCTGAATCCAATCGAGAATCTGTGGAAAGAGCTGAAGACTGCTGTTCACAAACGCTCTCCATCCAACCTCACTGACCTCCAGCTGTTTTGCAAGGAAGAATGGGCAAGAATTCCAGTCTCTCGATGTGCAAAACTGATAGAGACATACCCCAAGCGACTTGCAGCTATAATTGCAGCAAAAGGTGGCGCTACAAAGTATTAGCGCAAGGGGGCCGAATACTTTTGCAAGGCACTGTAAGTCCTCACAGAATCCTCTTTTGTGAAATCTGTGGTTCAGTCTCTTTAGCAAAATGTCTGTACAGTCCATGCAGTACTGCTGGTGGCCTCTAGTCCATGTGGGTTTAGGCTGCAGTACCACAGGTGGCCTCTAGTCCATGTGGGTTTAGGCTGCAGTACCACAGGTGGCCACTAGTCCGTGTGAGTTTAGGCTGCAGTACCACAGGTGGCCTCTAGTCCATGTGGGTTTAGGCTGCAGTACCACAGGTGGCCTCTAGTCCATGTGGGTTTAGACTGCAGTACCACAGGTGGCCTCTAGTCCATGTGGGTTTAGGCTGCAGTACCACAGGTGGCCTCTAGTCCATGTGGGTTTAGTCTGCAGTACCGCGGTTGGCCTCTAGTCCATGTGGGTTTAGGCTGCAGTACCGCGTTTGGCCTCTAGTCCATGTGGGTTTAGGCTGCAGTACCGCGTTTGGCCTCTAGTCCATGTGGGTTTAGGCTGCAGTACCGCGTTTGGCCTCTAGTCCACATGATAACAGACACAGCAGTCAACAGTCTGTTATGTGGAACCAGCAGGGGACGCTGTGGACTATTCTAAAAGTCTCAGAACGACGCTTGAAGGGATCCCCTCTTCTATCAGTCTCTCTTTCAACTAAACCAGAAACACAACAAAGCTTCAGAAATCACAACTGGTCCTTAAGCGAGCCATCAGAGGCCCAATCTACAGACCCTCAGCTCAGCAGGTTCAGTACAGGTACAGGCACATCTACAGTACAGGTGCAGGTACAGTACAGGTGCAGGTACAGGTGAAGGTACAGGTACAGGTGCAGGTACAGGTGAAGGTACAGGTACAGGTGAAAGTACAGTACAGGCACAGGTACATGTGCAGGTACAGGTACAGGTGAAGGTACAGGTACAGGTACAGGTGAAGGTACAGGTGCAGGTACAGGTGAAGGTACAGGTGAAGGTGCAGGTACAGGTGAAGGTACAGGTGAAGGTGCAGGTACAGGTACAGGTACAGGTGAATGTGCAGGTACAGGTGAAGGTACAGGTGAAGGTGCAGGTACAGGTGCAGGTACCGGTACAGGTACAGGTGAAGGTACAGGTGAAGGTACAGGTGAAGGTGCAGGTACAGGTGAAGGTACAGGTGAAGGTACAGGTGAAGGTACAGCTAACAGGTACAGGTACAGGTGAAGGTACAGGTACAGGTGCAGGTACAGGTGCAGGTACAAGTACAAGTACAGGTGAAGGTGCAGGTACAGGTGAAGGTACAGGTGAAGGTGCAGGTACAGGTGCAGGTACAGGTACAGGTATAGGTGAAGGTGCAGGTACAGGTACAGGTACAGGTGAAGGTACAGGTGAAGGTACAGGTGCAGGTGCAGGTACAGGTACAGGTGAAGGTACAGGTACAAGTGCAGGTACAGGTGAAGGTGCAGGTACAGGTGCAGGTACAGGTGAAGGTACCGGTACAGGTACAGGTGAAGGTACAGGTGAAGGTGCAAGTACAGGTGAAGGTACAGGTACAGGTGCAGGTACAGGTGAAGGTACAGGTGAAGGTACAGGTACAGGTGCAGGTACAGGTGAAGGTGCAGGTACAGGTGAAGGTACAGGTACAGGTGCAAGTACAGGTGAAGGTACAGGTGAAGGTACAGTACAGGCACAGGTACAGGTGAAGGTACAGGTGAAGGTACAGGTACAGGTGTAGGTACAGGTGAAGGTGCAGGTACAGGTGCAGGTACAGGTGAAGGTACAGGTACAGGTGAAGGTACAGGTGCAGGTACAGGTGAAGGTACAGGTACAGGTGCAGGTACAGGTACAGGTGAAGGTACAGGTGAAGGTACAGGTACAGGTGCAGGTACAGGTGATGGTACAGGTGAAGGTACAGGTGAAGGTACAGGTGCAGGTACAGGTGCAGGTACAGGTGAAGGTACAGGTGAAGGTGCAGGTACAGGTGAAGGTACAGGTGCAGGTACAGGTGAAGGTACAGGTACAGGTACAGGTGCAGGTGCAGGTACAGGTGAAGGTGCAGGTACAGGTGCAGGTACAAGTGCAGGTACAGGTGAAGGTACAGGTACAGGTGAAGGTACAGGCACAGGTGCAGGTACAGGTACAGGTACAGGTGAAGGTACAGGTGCAGGTGCAGATACAGGTAAAGTTACAGGTACAGGTGCAGGTACAGGTGAAGGTACAGGTGAAGGTACAGGTGCAGGTACAGGTACAGGTGCAGGTACAGGTACAGGTGAAGTTACAGGTACAGGTGCAGGTACAGGTGAAGGTACAGGTGAAGGTACAGGTGCAGGTACAGGTGAAGGTACAGGTGCAGGTACAGGTGAAGGTACAGGTGATAACACAGGTACAGGTGCAGGTACAGGTGCTAACACAGGTACAGGTTAAGGTACAGGTGCAGGTACAGGTACCGGTGAAGGTACAGGTGCTAACACAGGTACAGATGCTAACACAGAGTCTGAATCTACAAACCTGTTCAAGCACAGATTCCACGTCGTCTTCAGAAAGAGGAGCAGCCGCCAAGAGCCGCACTGCAGAGACCAGAGAAAATATATATACTGAGACAGAGGTACAGTATGTATACTGAGACAGAGGTATGTATACTGAGACAGAGGTACAGTATGTATACTGAGACAGAGGTATGTATACTGAGACAGAGGTATGTATACTGAGACAGAGGTACAATATGTATACTGAGACAGAGGTATGTATACTGAGACAGAGGTATGTATACTGAGACAGAGGTACAGTATGTATACTGAGACAGAGGTATGTATACTGAGACAGAGGTACAGTATGTATACTGAGACAGAGGTATGTATACTGAGACAGAGGTATGTATACTGAGACAGAGGTACAGTATGTATACTGAGACAGAGGTATGTATACTGAGACAGAGGTACAGTATGTATACTGAGACAGAGGTATGTATACTGAGACAGAGGTATGTATACTGAGACAGAGGTATGTATACTGAGACAGAGATATGTATACTGAGACAGAGGTATGTATACTGAGAGGTGTACTTACTATTTAGTACCAGGGTTAGGGTGTTGTCCGGCGAGAATACCTCAGGTGTCAAATCGGTCACAGTAGTACTGGCAGTAGTAGGAGTAGTAGTAGGAGTAGTAGTATTAGTAGTAGTAGTAGTAGTAGTAGTAGTAGTAGTAGTAGTAGTAGTAGTAGTAAAGTCATTTTTCTTAATGACGGTTGTCTGGATGGTAGTATTAATGTTAGTGAATAAATCTAATGAAATGAAAAATAAAGAGAAAGGAACTGAAACACAAAAAACATCAGATCAGGACATTTCTGTGACTTTGATGTTCAGACTGAAACTGAAACTGAAACTGAAACCCACGGAACCTCCCTTTAAAGATGTACAAAGTTAGAGATGTTATACTAGCTTCTTTATTTTGCTAAAGTTATATTTTATACTAGCTTCTTTATTATGCTAAAGTTAGAGATGTTATACTAGCTTCTTTATTATGCTAAAGTTAGAGATGTTATACTAGCTCCTTTATTATGCTAAAGTTAGAGATGTTATACTAGCTCCTTTATTATGCTAAAGTTAGAGATGTTATACTAGCTCCTTTATTATGCTAAGAGATCATTTGTTTTAGTATAGAGTTAATAAAGGACCTCTTCATCTTCATCTTAATTATTTAATTTTGGACGATTAACCAATAAAAACCGAGGATGAGAGACAGTGGCACAGACCGCGCTGCAGGCTGTAATTTAGCACATTTGGATAATACATTGAAAACAGAGACTGGACGACAGAGTTAGAACTGAAATGAGTGTTGTGTGAGGGCCACTCACCTTCAGCCACGGTCAGCACCACACAGCGGAGCTCTGAGCTGAGCCGGACGCCGCTGCACACACAACACACTATGATTTATTACATTTATTATTATGAAAGTCTCAGCACAAGTTTTCTGAAATGGTACGAGTTTTACTTATGTCTGAAGAGAGAGGCACCTGGGTCCTAGTCGAGACCAGGGGACCCCTGGTTGGTACCAGGGGTTCTGGTGTTTCTGACTGTTCTGCTGGTGGTATCTGGTCTCTGGGCCCTGGTCTCTGGTCTCTGGTCTCTGGTCTCTGGTCTCTGGTCTCTGGTCTCTGGTCTCTGGTCTCTGGTCTCTGGTCTCTGGTCTCTGGTCTCTGGTCTCTGGTCTCTGGTCTCTGGTCCCTGGTCCCTGGTCCCTGGTCCCTGGTCTCTGGTCGCTGGTCTCTGGTCCCTGGTCCCTGGTCTCTGGTCCCTGGTCAAACAGGGACTGAGAAAAGGGGGATCCGTTCCTCCAGGTCAGAACCATGAAGCACAGACACTGACCTGAGATCAGTCAGAACCATGAAGCACAGACACTGACCTGAGATCAGTCAGAACCATGAAGCACAGACACTGACCTGAGATCAGTCAGAACCATGAAGCACAGACACTGACCTGAGATCAGCCAGGACCATGAAGCACAGACACTGACCTGAGATCAGTCAGAACCATTAAGCACAGACACTGACCTGAGATCAGCCAGGACCATGAAGCAGACCGGGACCAGTCGTCCAGTGTCCGCAGCAGACGGCCTCCAGCTCAGCAGGTACTGTCCTTCAGACCGGGTCTGGGTCTGGGTCATCCCTGCAGGACCACTGAACCACAACTGCCCCAGCCTGAGGACACAGGAGCAGTCAGTATGACTCCAGGAGCAGATCATCTCTATCCTTGTTTTCATGAAATAATCTTTGATCAGTTAAAGCTCTTTCTTCAAGGTCTCTCTCTCTCTCTCTGTTCTCTCTCTCTGGCCTCTCTCTCTGGTCTCTCTCTCTGGTCTCTCTCTCTGGTCTCTCTCTGGTCTCTCTCTCTGGTCTGTCTCTGGTCTCTCTCTGGTCTCTCTCTGGCCTCTCTCTGTCTGGTCTCTCTCTCTGTTCTCTCTCTCTGGCCTCTCTCTCTGGTCTCTCTCTCTGGTCTCTCTCTCTGGTCTCTCTCTCTGGTCTCTCTCTCTGGTCTCTCTCTGGTCTCTCTCTGGTCTCTCTCTCTGGTCTGTCTCTGGTCTGTCTCTGGTCTCTCTCTGGCCTCTCTCTGTCTGGTCTCTCTCTCTGGCCTCTCTCTCTGGCCTCTCTCTCTGGTCTCTCTCTCTGGTCTCTCTCTCTGGCCTCTCTCTCTGGTCTCTCTCTCTGGTCTCTCTCTCTGGTCTCTCTCTGGTCTCTCTCTGGTCTCTCTCTCCGGTCTCTGTCTGGTCTCAGGACCTACGTGGAGAGCTCGGCTCTGGTCTGGATGTGGAGACTCAGGGTCTGGGTCACGGTGACGTTGATCCGGGCTCCAGGGGCCGGGGTTGGGGCCTCAAACACAGGGATGTATAGACCAGGAAGACAGGATGGGACTTCCCCCTCCACTGAGACACACACACACACAGACACAGACACAGACACAGACACAGACACAGACACAGACACAGACACAGACACACACACAGACACAGACACAGACACAGACACAGACACAGAGACAGACACAGACACAGACACAGACACAGACACACACACAGACACAGACACAGACACAGACACAGACACACAGACACAGACACAGACACACAGACACAGACACAGACACAGACACACAGACACAGACACAGACACAGACACAGACACAGACACAGACACAGACACAGACACACACACAGACACAGACACAGACACAGACACAGACACAGACACACACACAGACACAGACACAGACACAGACACAGACACAGACACAGACACAGACACACAGACACAGACACAGACACAGACACAGACACACACACAGACACAGACACAGACACAGACACAGACACAGACACAGACACAGACACAGACACAGACAGACACAGACACAGACACAGACACAGACACACAGACACAGACAGACACAGACACACACACAGACACAGACACAGACACACACACAGACACACAGACACAGACACAGACACAGACACAGACACACACACAGACACACACACACACACACACACACACACACACACACACACACACACACACACACACACACACACACACACACACACACACACACACAGACACACACAGACACAGACACACACACAGACACACACACAGACAGACACAGACACACACAGACACAGACACACACACAGACACAGACAGACACAGACACACACACAGACACAGACACAGACACACACAGACACAGACAGACACAGACACAGACAGACACAGACACAGACACAGACAGACACAGACAGACAGACAGACAGACAGACAGACAGACGGACGGACGTTGTGGTTGGTTAACAAGAAACTCAACAAGTTTAACATTAATGTTGCTTTCTTGTGCTTTTATTATTTTGTGATGTATAGTTCTGTCTCTGTGGTAATAGTTTTGTCACGCCTCTTTTTAACTGCTCAGTTCAGAGTGGACTCCCGCCTGACCCACATGGTCCAACACCATCACAGCAACAAGGAAGCTAAAGTGGAAGTTCAGACTGGAAGACTCTCAGTCCTCCCCCTGCTCCTGTGCCGCATCAGCAACCAGCCAATCACACTCAACCCTCCTCCTCCCCATCATCGCCGCATCAGCAACCATCCAATCACACTCAGCTGGCGGTGTTTAAGCACCGCCCTACTAAAGCTTTCCCTCATGCAGCCCTACCTTCAACTCTTCTCTGAGCTCCTGCACCAGGTTCTAGGCCCCGGGGGATTTCATAATCTCTTACTCTCTCCTCCCCTTCTGCATTGGTCACAGTGCTCTGCCTTAAATGCCATTCTTGCAGACCACAGTTTGACACTTTACAGCCGCAGCTGCCCCAATGTGGCACATGGTGTTCCCAGAGGTCTCCCATCACAGCATTAACCAGGCCCTGCCCTGCTTAGCCTCAGAGGTCTGACAGGATCTGGCTTATACCTGCAGCTGTGTCCACGTAGAGTCTTATGACCAGTCTCTCTCTCTTGCTCTGGTCTCTCTTGTTTGGTTGCCATAGTCACAGATTACAACCAAATAAATACGATTGTATATCCTCCATTTTGGTCTGTAGGATCTGAGACTGACCTGCGAGTAGGAACTGCACGGGGGTCTTGCTGAGAGCCTGGGTGGTCTTTCTCTCCTCCTGGGTCCCGTTGGCCCCGGTCAGGACTATGTCGGTCCTGGGGAAGTCCTCCAGGACCATCTGCACCACATAGAGTCCCACAGAGCTGCTGCTGCTGCTGAACGACAGACGGCAGCTCTACACACACAGAGAAGCTCAGAGTCAAACACACAGAGTCCAGGACCCTCCTTGACCCAGAGAGGTTAAAGAAGACGTATGATGGATTCTTTCACAGAGAGGTTAAAGAACACGTATGATGGATTCTTTCACAGAGAGGTTAAAGAAGACGTATGATGGATTCTTTCAGAGAGAGGTTAAAGAAGACGTATGATGGATTCTTTCACAGAGAGGTTAAAGAACACGTATGATGCATTCTTGCACAGAGAGGTTAAAAAACACGTATGATGGATTCTTTCACAGAGAGGTTAAAGAACACGTATGATGCGTTCTTTCACAGAGAAGTTAAAGAACACGTATGATGCATTCTTTACCCATCAACAACATTTACTTTGTCATGGTTTATGTGGAACAATATCTTCAGCAGAAAATAGAAAAGTGATATTGCTGTAACTGCTAATTTCCACAGGAGGCGTTACAGCACGTACGCGTTATACGTGCAGCAGACGCGCGTAACATTTTTCCATGTAAACCAATGAGGATATTTACACTAGTGTTAAACGCACGTATGACGGACGTAATGACGCGAGGCTGCACCTAATTTAGGATGGATTTCTAATTTTGTGCGCGCAGCAACGCGTCTCCCATTGAAAACTCATGTAAAACATTTTTCTCGCGGTCCTTGGCTCTAGATCACATCTACACACACAGCACTTGTGTCTAAACATCAGCAGGAGGAGCAGCAGGTTTTACAGTGATTCTGGACATCGTTTCTCTCAGTCTGGCCAAACCAGCGCACAGAGACCATGAGGACAAACACATGCATGTGATTTGTGTTGCTCTACATCAGTCTCTGTACTGTCCTCTACACTGCTCCATAGACTACACAGGGACAGCATCAGAAGGACCTGCACACGCCCAGTGTGGATACTGCCAAATAATGTTACGCACAGATGTGCTCAGTCAACGCGTACGCGCTGTTAACGCCTACTGTGGAAATGAGCTGTAACTCCCTATGCTGCCACCAGAGGGAGGATTAGATGTTTTTATTTTTTTTATTTTTTTCTAATTCAAAAATGACTGTCAGCAAACACATGTGATCGTAAAGAACGTAGTTTCACCCAAAGACATTTTCTAAACTGCAAACTAACTAATAAAATATATACTTAAATACTTTGAGTGTAATATCATAGTCTCTAGTCTCTCTCTGGTCTCTCTCTGTCTCCCTCTGGTCTCTCTCTGGTCTCTCTCTGGTCTCTCTCTGGTCTCTCTCTGTCTCCCTCTGGTCTCTCTCTGGTCTCTCTCTGGTCTCCCTCTGGTCTCTCTATGGTCTCTCTCTGGTCTCTCTATGGTCTCTCTCTGTCTCCCTCTGGTCTCTCTCTGGTCTCTCTCTGGTCTCCCTCTGGTCTCTCTATGGTCTCTCTCTGTCTCCCTCTGATCTCTCTCTGTCTCCCTCTGGTCTCTCTCTGGTCTCTCTCTCTGTCTCTCTCTCTGGTCTCTCTCTGGTTTCTCTCTGGTCTCTCTCTGTCTCCCTCTGGTCTCTCTCTGGTCTCTCTCTGGTCTCCCTCTGTCTCCCTCTGGTCTCTCTCTCTGGTCTCTCTCTGGTCTCTCTCTCTGTCTCTCTCTCTGGTCTCTCTCTGGTTTCTCTCTGGTCTCTCTCTGTCTCCCTCTGGTCTCTCTCTCTAGTCTCTCTCTGGTCTCCCTCTGTCTCCCTCTGGTCTCTCTCTCTGGTCTCTCTCTGGTCTCTCTCTGGTCTCTCTCTGGTCTCTCTCTGGTCTCTCTCTGGTCTCTCTCTGGTCTCACTCTGGTCTCTCTCTGGTCTCTCTCTGGTCTCTCTTTGGTCTCTCTCTGGTCTCTCTCTGGTCTCTCTCTCTGGTCTCTCTCTGTCTCCCTCTGGTCTCTCTCTCTGGTCTCTCTCTGGTCTCCCTCTGGTCTCCCTCTGGTCTCTCTCTCTGGTCTCTCTCTGGTCTCTCTCTGGTCTCTCTGGTCTCTCTCTCTGGTCTCTCTCTGTCTCCCTCTGGTCCTCTCTCTGGTCTCTCTCTGGTCTCTCTCTGGTCTCTCTCTCTGGTCTCTCTCTGGTCTCTCTCTCTGGTCTCTCTCTGGTCTCTCTCTGGTGTCTCTTTGGTCTCTCTCTGGTCTCTCTCTGGTCTCTCTCTGTCTCTCTCTGGTCTCTCTCTGGTCTCACTCTGGTCTCTCTCTGGTCTCTCTTTGGTCTCTCTCTGGTCTCTCTCTGGTCTCTCTCTCTGGTCTCTCTCTGGTCTCTCTCTCTGGTCTCTCTCTCTCTGGTCTTTCTCTGGTGTCTCTTTGGTCTCTCTCTGGTCTCTCTCTGGTCTCTCTCTGGTCTCTCTCTGGTCTCTCTCTGGTCTCTCTCTGGTCTCTCTCTGGTCTCTCTCTCTGGTCTCTCTCTCTCTGGTCTCTCTCTGGTCTCTCTCTCTGGTCTCTCACCCTGGTCTCTCTCTCTCTGGTCTCTCTCTGGTCTCTCTCTGGTGTCTCTTTGGTCTCTCTCTGGTCTCTCTCTCTGGTCTCTCTCTCTGGTCTCTCTCTCTGGTCTCTCTCTCTGGTCTCTCTCTGGTCTCTCTCTCTGGTCTCTCACCCTGGTCTCTCTCTAATACCATGTGTTGTACCTGGTGGAGGCTGAGCACAGAGGGCGGGCTGCACTGGTGACATTCTCGTGGGTCGATGGTGTTGTTTGCAAACCTGCACTGGACCAGGTCTGAATCTGGATCCAGACTGCGGAGGTCCAGGTCTGTGGGACAGTTCCATGGGACTCTGAGAGGAAAGACAGCCTCAGTCCTGGGTCTACAGCCTCAGTCCTGGGTCTACAGTCTCAGTCCTGGGTCTACAGCCTCAGTCCTGGGTCTACAGCCTCAGTCCTGGGTCTACAGCCTCAGTCCTGGGTCTACAGCCTCAGTCCTGGGTCTACAGTCTCAGTCCTGGGTCTGCAGCCTCAGTCCTGGATCTACAGCCTCAGTCCTGGGTCTGCAGCCTCAGTCCTGGGTCTACAGCCTCAGTCCTGGGTCTACAGCCTCAGTCCTGGGTCTACAGCCTCAGTCCTGGGTCTTACCGTATCATCGGCAGTACAGAGCTGAGAGGTGATGAGTTCGAGGTCCCGGTGTCGGAGCGGGTCCTGAGATCCACCACGACAGAGAAACTCACGTTCACCACAGAGTTCACAGAGGGGAGGGGCCACGAGGGCTCTGTGTGGTCCCTGAGGGAGAGATCAGGGTGAGACCAGAGAGAGACCAGAGAGAGGCCAGAGAGAGACCAGAGAGAGGCCAGAGAGACCAGAGAGAGAGACCAGAGAGGGACCAGAGAGAGACCAGAGAGAGACCAGAGAGAGGCCAGAGAGGGACCAGAGAGAGACCAGAGAGAGGCCAGAGAGGGACCAGAGAGAGACCAGAGAGAGGCCAGAGAGAGACCAGAGAGAGACCAGAGAGGGACCAGAGAGAGACCAGAGAGAGACCAGAGAGAGGCCAGAGAGGGACCAGAGAGAGACCAGAGAGAGGCCAGAGAGAGCCCAGAGAGGGACCAGAGAGAGACCAGAGAGAGACCAGAAAGAGACCAGAGAGAGACCAGAGAGCCCAGAGAGGGACCAGAGAGAGACCAGAGAGAGACCAGAGAGAGGCCAGAGAGAGGCCAGAGAGAGGCCAGAGAGAGCCCAGAGAGGGACCAGAGAGAGACCAGTTAGAGACCAGAGAGAGACCAGAGAGAGGCCAGAGAGAGCCCAGAGAGGGACCAGAGAGAGACCAGAGAGAGACCAGAGAGAGGCCAGAGAGAGCCCAGAGAGGGACCAGAGAGAGACCAGAGAGAGACCAGAGAGAGACCAGAGAGAGAGACCAGAGAGAGACCAGAGAGAGACCAGAGAGAGACCAGAGAGAGATCAGAGAGAGACCAGTGTGATCCGGCATGTGGGAGAGGACATGTTTTGTTTATAGTTTGCAGTGGTGTTTTTATAAGCATGAGTGTTTTAGCATTTTAGTCCTGCTCCAGCTGGAGACATGCCGCAGAGCCCCATGGACGCTGTTGCCCAATCTTGTGCACCACACAATTAGAGCACCTGCTCTTGATGGGAGAGCAGAGAACAAAAGGGCAGGTGAGACAGACAGAGGGGCGCAACGGAACGGGACGGTAAACGAGAGCCACTGAGGACGAGCGAGCGGGGCGCCTGAGGACAACGCGTTCGAGACCGCACGGCTCTACAAGACCGGACCGAGCAGTGACCCAGCCTGCACCAGCGAGCCCTATCCACGCAGCGGCAGAGCGAGAAAGCTCTGCCTCGTCTGTGAGTAACGCTCTGTGGATTAGCTGGTGCAACCAGGAGAGCCTCAGGCCCCAGCAGCTGGCGAAGCTTGTTTGTGTACTGTGTACTGGCTCTGGTCTTGTGTTAGGGAGCGTGGTGGAGAGGGGAGCGGCGGTCTGAGGAGGCACCTGACCCGGGGAAGAGCACCGTGACGTTGACTACACGCAGCGGCAGGGTGAATCCCTGCCGTGCCTGTAAGTACCTATAGTCGTTGTAGCGGTGCTAAAAGATCATTTTGTGGGGTCTCTTGCTTGTGTGTTCGGCTGTGTGGTGCTGCCGTTTCGTCCTTGTGCCCAGGGGCGGAGCTGGACCGTGTGTGTAAGTGCCCGCCCGTTGTCCCTCGTTAAATCAAAACGTGGAGGATTGTTCCTGCCGGCCTTTTTGTTTTTGTGCACAGGTCTCCCTGAAGAGCGCCCCCCTGCGCTCTGGACTTTTTTTTTTTTAATCACATTTTAAAGACTTTTTAACCCTGTTTTAATTTATTGTAATAAATTATTTTGTTTTTAACAGTTTGCTCTGTCCTCTTTTGGTCACACCACTGCTCTGCCATGACTGTTTTAATTCGGTCCACTACTCAATCATTTCCTTTTGCCTCAATAATTAAACCCCCCCTCATTACACGAGAGAGACCAGAGAGAGAGAGACCAGAGAGAGAGAGACCAGAGAGAGAGAGACCAGAGAGAGAGAGACCAGAGAGAGAGAGACCAGAGAGAGAGAGACCAGAGAGAGAGAGACCAGAGAGAGAGACCAGAGAGAGAGAGACCAGAGAGAGAGAGACCAGAGAGAGAGAGACCAGAGAGAGAGAGACCAGCTCACCAGTGCGCGCTCATGGTAAACAGATCCATGGTGTCTGGAACAGTCTGTGTCTGGACGAACAGGACTCGACAGACTCCCCCCACAACGTGGCTGAAGCGATGGACGTCCAGACTTGTCCCACACTGGTCTCTCTCACAGCAGAGAGAGAAACCCTCACAGTCCTCTTCACTGTAGTCTCCACTGTACCCTGCACTGAACTCCACCTGCAGAAGAACCAGGGTAAAGCTGGGGTTCCTAACTTTACTGATTCATTATTCACATTATTCACTCTCTGTCTGGTCTCTCTCTGGTCTCTCTCTGGTCTCTCTCTCTCTGGTCTCTCTCTCTCTCTCTCTGGTCCCTCTCTGGTCTCTCTCTGGTCTCTCTCTGGTCTCTCTCTCTCTCTCTCTCTGGTCTCTCTCTGGTCTCTCTCTCAGCAAAGCTCGTCCTGCAGCAGTTACTCACAGAGAAGTCTGAGGTCTGGACTCTGGGACTGAACGAGACCGAGGCCCCGTAGTAGTCCAGGAGCACGGCCAGAGCAGGCACAGGCAGAACAAGCAACAAGCACACACGATCCATATCCACTCTCTCACTCTGCTCTCTCTTCTCACTCTGCTCTCTCCTCGCACTCTGTGTTCTCTCTTCTCACTCTGCTCTCTCCTCTCACTCTGTGTTCTCTCCTCTCACTCTGCTCTCTCCTCTCACTCTGTGTTCTCTCCTCTCACTCTGCTCTCTCCTCTCACTCTGTGTTCTCTCCTCTCACTCTGCTCTCTCCTCTCACTCTGTGTTCTCTCCTCTCACTCTGCTCTCTCCTCTCTCTCTGTGTTCTCTCCTCTCTCTCTCCTCTCTCTCTCTCTCTCTGCTCCAACAACACAGCCCTTTAACCACTGCTCCTTAAGTAAATGTTCTGGTCCAACCCCTTTTCAACCTGAATACTAGATGTAACTGCTCTAATCCAGTCCTTTCTCGCTCTCTGCTCTTTCTCTACTCTGTTTCTTGTCTCTTCTGATCTGTCTCTGGTCTCTCTCTGGTCTCTCTCTCTGGTCTCTCTCTCTGGTCTCTCTCTGGTCTCTCTCTCTGGTCTCTCTCTGGTCTCTCTCTCTGGTCTCTCCCTCTGGTCTCTCCCTCTGGTCTCTCTCTCTGGTCTCTCTCTCTGGTCTCTCTCTCTGGTCTCTCTCTCTCTGGTCTCTCTCTGGACTCTCTCTCTGGACTCTCTCTCTGGTCTCTCTGGTCTCTCTCTGGTCTCTCTCTCTGGTCTCTCTCTGGACTCTCTCTGGTCTCTCTCTGGTCTCTCTGGTCTCTCTCTGGTCTCTGGTAAACTCTCAATAGTGCAGCGATAAAAGTGAAGCAGAATCTTAGAGTTGTTGGTAAATGTATGAAGTTTTCGCAGGAAGTAGAGCTGCTGACGAGCTTTCTTAACGACCTGTGGGTGTTTTTGTCCCATTTCAGGTCAGACAGAGTTAAACCCAGAAACGTGCTCTACACCTGCACCTGGGAGTTATCCATAACAACTGTCAGAACTGTTACGACTAAAGTCAGAGTTCACATGTTCTGGATGTGTTCAGCTGGAGGTTGTTGGCCTGACTCCACTGAACAACACTCTGCTTTGTCAGAGGATTCATCATGAAGTATGTTAGAAATATATGTTATTATTATGTTGTTACTGATGAGACTGATGATGGTGGTGTCATCAGCATATTTAATGATCATGATCATCTGATTGAATCTGCGCTGGAAAGCGTGCTCAGGCCCACGTCTTTAGTGGAGCCTGGGCGCGGTCGCTGCATTTGTGCCCAGGCTCGATAGCCGCGGTCACATGACGCCAAAAGCTTTAGGCTGAGCATGTGACCACAGCCTTAAACTGTTTTGGTTGATTTCTTTCAGAGTGACAATACTTTCTCTTTTAGCCTGTTTTATTGCTGCACTTGTCTTGTGCACTCTGTCTTGCACTTGTTTTCCAAAGTGGTTTTACTGCAAGTGCCAAATAAACTGAATCTGAAACAGAAAAGTTTGAAAGTTGTCGATGATTTCTGAAGCAACAAACTGGAACCACAACGCTGCAGGTTTCATGTTCAGTGTTGAAACCACAGAGACAGTTATGAAGGAGAACAGGAACAACATGTGACATCACAGAGACCGGCTCCTGTGGAAGAATGCAGAAGTATGTGACATCACAGCTGGAGGTCTCTGCTCTCTGCACCTTTGGAAACTGCTCTATTGGTTTTTTACATTTTAGTTTTTAGTTTTACCTTTTTGTCTTTTTTTTTAGAGGTTTTAGTTAATCATGAACTCATGGACCAGAGAGACCAGAGAAAGACCAGAGGGAGACAAGAGAGAGACCAGACAGAGACCAGAGAGCGAGAAGAGAGAGACCAGAGAGAGACCAGAGAGAGACCAGAGAGAGACCAGAGAGCGAGAAGAGAGAGACCAGAGACACCAGAGAGAGACCAGAGAGAGACCAGAGAGAGACCAGAGAGAGACCAGAGAGAGACCAGAGAGAGACCAGAGAGAGACCAGACAGAGACCAGAGAGCGAGAAGAGAGAGACCAGAGAGACCAGAGAGAGACCAGAGAGAGACCAGAGAAAGACCAGAGGGAGACAAGAGAGAGACCAGAGAGACCAGAGAGACCAGAGAGAGACCAGAGAGAGACCAGACCAGAGAGAGAGACAGACTGCAGGAGAACTTGGACCGTTGGACTTGCTCCTTCACTGTAACAGATCAGTGAGTGCAAAATAACTTCCTTCAACAAAACTCACACAAAAATATATAAATACCAAGAGTCTGTCGCCTGAAGGTCTTTCCCCTTAAAAGCTTCAGGTTAGACCTTTAACATAAATTAAAATAATCGCTAATTAACTCTTTTTGTATGCAAAAATAGAACAGGAGCATGACAGAGGAGCCTTAATGAGAAGAGAGGCCACTGCAGAAACAGAGCGTTGAGCGCCAAAACAACAGACTACACCGACCCAAGACATCCCACAATGCACCGCTCTTAAAGGGCCAGGCTTGGCCTATTACACTACCCCCACTATGGATGATAAATAAAAACTTTTATATCACTCCAGCACAAAATAATGCACATTAGGAAATTATAATCAAACACTCCACCCTAGTGGTAATGTTCCAAGCCCACAGTCTTTGCAAACCATAGTCAAGTACTGATGGGGAACTCTGGCAAAGGTGACATACGTTAAACCTCATGACAAATGTACATCGCTTGGAGGAGTCCAGGTAGAAAGGTAGGTATGGGGTGAAGTGCATAGCTCGAATTGGAATGTCCTGCCTTAGCTCAGCTCATAAAATCCCCATTTAAACAGTCATTACTCCTTTAACCTGCAAGGCACTTGTATATATAAACTCAATGTGCACACATAACCGACAAACAGTGCAAAAATGGCATGTACTAAACAACATGTAGTAAGCCTCCAACATTTTTAACATAACAGTAAACCATTTTATTTATTTATTTACTCCGATTAGGCAGGAATCTGACTCGGGGATAAAACACTTGTTGCAGAGACTAGTGACTAAGCCAGTCACCAAACTTATCAGGTGCTCTCCGTGTCCTTAGCGACCTGGACAGAGGGGCAGAGATCGAACGGTGAAGGCGTCTCACGCTCTGCGATGTATGCCGAGTGCCAACCTCATCCCACTGAGGCTGTGTGGGGCTGGCAGGTGGTTGAGGGCCAGGTGGTGAAGGACCAGCAACCTCTCTGGCGGCGGCCGGGGTATTCTCGAAGTCAGAGGTAGTGTCTCTGGTGTCTGAAAGGGTATCCTCGGAAGTAGTGTCCCACAGCTGAAGAGGGCCGAAGTCCGTGTCAGAGTCCACATCAGACACAGGGGGAGACACCTCCAGTGGTGTTGGTGTGTCGTTTCTCTGGAAAACCCAGCTGTTGTCGAGCAGGGCTCTGGAATGGAAAGGTTTGAGCTTGTCGTGGTGCACAACTTTAATCTTTGCCCTTGGACCTTTCTGGATCTGGTACACCAAGTCGTCCAGCTGACCCACGATAAAGTAAGGGCCCTCGTAGGACGGCAGGAACTTGCGGACCTTGTGTCTTACTCGTTTGGTGCCTTTGACTAGGTACCACACCGCAGAACCGACCAGGTACTGAGTTTGGCAAATGTTCTTGTCATACTGTCTCTTTGCTCTTTCAGAGGCCTTTCCCAGAGCCTCTCGTGCAAGTTGGTGCGAGCGCTCCAGTTGCTCTCGGAGATTTACGACATAGTCAGGTTTCAAGCTAGAATTAGTGTCATTTGGGGGGAGCCCAACCACTAAGTCGATGGGCTCAGTGATTTCCCTGCCGAACAACATCATGTTTGGGGTAAGTCCGGTGGAACTATGTTTGGTAGCTCGATAAGCCATGACTGCATAGGGAAGCATTAGATCCCAGTCCCAATGGCACCTTTCTGCAGTAGCTGCGAGTGTTTTCTGTAGAGTGGCGTTAAAGCGCTCCACCTGCCCATCTGACTGTGGGTGAAAGGGGGTTGTACAAGTCTTTTCAATGCCCAACAGTTCACACATGCCCTGGAAGACAGCAGACTCAAAATTTGTGCCCTGGTCACTGTGTAATGTGTAAGGGGCCCCGTACCTGCATACCCACTCTGAGACAATCTTTTCAGCTACCGTTAATGCCTGCTCATTGGAAACCGGATAAGCCTCAACCCATTTACTGAAATAGTCCTGCACAACTAAAATGAAGCGATTATGTCTGTCAGTCTCATTTAAAGGTCCCATAAGGTCAACTGCGATTCTCTCCATAGGTGCCCCGACCCGCACGGTGCCCATAGCAGCTTGTGGCGTCTTCTTTGGACGGGCCTTGGCAGCGCATCTGGTGCACGTGCGGCACCACAATGTCACATCGTCTCTCATATTGTACCAAAAGTACCTGGTTTTAACACGAGCTAGAGTCCTTTCCCCCCCAAAATGGCCCCCAACTGGACCATCGTGCATCTGCTCCATAACTGCTTTACGTAATGCGTGGGGCAGGAGGACTTGAGGGAAAAATGTCTGGCCTTCGGAAGAGAAGAACTTTCTCATCAATACCCCATCTTTCATGTAAAGTCTTTTCCACTGTGACCAGTAGGCCTTTGTGGCTGGACTGTAGGGAGCAATGGTGGACCATGGCGGGCGGCTACACCCGCTATCTACCCACTGCCAAACCGGCGCAATGTCAGGATCTGTCTTTTGAGCTGTGGTGAGCTGCTCTACGGTCCAGCCCTGAAACAAAGTCTGTTGTGTCTCATTCACACTGTGGACACTTGGATAGACTGTGTCACAGCTGTTTAAGTCGCCCACCCCCACTAAGGGAAGCTCAGGGTTAGGCCCCACTACCCCCACTAAAACCTGCCCTGGGGTGGAAGTGAAAGGCTCAGCTAAGGTAGAGTGGTCAGATGGGTCACACTGCACTGCTTTGTCTGCGTAACGGTCACGGTTAAGCTCTGGGACTTTTATAGTACAAGGACAGGATGCCTGGCATGGCCGTCTGGATAGCGCATCTGCATTTTGGTGGACCTTGCCAGGGCGGTGGATAACCATAAAGTCATACTCGGCTAGCTTTTCTAACCAACGCGCTAACTGACCTTCAGGTTCTCTCAGTCTAGTGAGCCAGCGGAGGCTGCTATGGTCAGTCCGGACAGTGAAGGGACGGCCGAGTAAGTACTGCCTAAAGTGGGAAGTGAAGTCCACAACTGCCAGTAGCTCCCTACGTGTGGTACAGTAGTTTTGTTCTGTAGCTGACAGTCGCCTACTCCCATAGGCTAACACCCTTTCCTCACCCCCCTGCACTTGAGAGAGGACTGCTCCAATCCCACAGTCACTAGCGTCGGTGTCAAGAAACATTTCCCCTTTGTCGAGGGGGTAGCCCAGGACTGGAGCTGATGTTAACAGCCTTTTTAGTTCGTCAAATGCCCCTTGGCAATGGGCAGTCCAGCTAAAGCGGGCGTATTTCTTAGTCAGTTCATGCAATGGTTTAGCTATAGTAGCAAAGTCCGGGACAAAGCGCCGGTAGTAAGAAGCTAGGCCTACAAACTGTCTAACTTCGGACACATTTCTAGGGGTGGGCCAGTTTCTTACTTTCTCAGTCTTTTCGGGATCGGTGGCGATGCCATGGGCGGACACAATGTGACCAAGGTAGGCCACCTCCTCGCGAAAAAGGCAGCACTTGGACGGTTTAAGTTTCAGGTTGGCCTGACGCAGTCTGCTAAAAACCTGCTCCAGTCGCTCTAACATCTCTGGAGTGTCCTTTCCCAGAACCATTATGTCATCCAAGTACACTAGACAGGTCTGCCACTGCAACCCAGCTAACACCCGGTCCATAAGTCTTTGGAAAGTGGCCGGGGCGTTGCAAAGCCCAAACGGCATCACATTCCACTCGAAAAGTCCCTTGCGTGTACAGAAAGCTGCAGCTTTACGGGCCCGAGGGGTCATCTCTACCTGCCAGTACCCTGAAGTTAAGTCAAGTGTGCTAAAATACCTGGCAGTAGACAGTGTGTCAAGAGTGTCCTGGATACGCGGCAGTGGATACGCATCCTTGATGGTCCTTCCGTTCAGCGGTCTGTAGTCCACACACAGCCTGGGAGACTTGTCCTTTTTCTTCACCACTACGATTGGCGCTGCCCAGCTACTGTTACTCGGTTGAGCAACACCCGCGTCGAGACTCTGTTGAAGCTGCTGGTCGGCGGCGAGCTGCTTGTCGGCGGCCATTCTGCGTGGAGGCTGCTTGACTGGAGGCCCTGGCAGGGTCTGGATGTCATGTTGCACGATGTTGGTGCGGCCGAGGTCAGTAGGGCCAGTAGAGAAGATATCGGCGTAGGAATGTAGCAGATGGGCGAGTTTGTTGCAGTCACCCTCTGACAGGATGGAGCAGCTCTCACCATACATGACCTGCAAGTGGGAAGGGACAGAAACAGAGTTAATGGGCCCTGGCTTAGACGGGGGCAAGGTTGGCGCCGACTCAAGGGTGGCCACCACCTCGGCAGGCTGGAGGACACCGGCCACGGTTCCTCTCTTCAGGGTGACAGGCGTAGACCCAGGGTTGAAGACTCGGATGGGAATGCCGGCGGACTTTAGTGGTTGGACGACCGCATGGGCCACCAGGACACAGTGTTTCTCGATAAAGGCCTTGGTTGGACTGAGCATCAGGTCGCCACCGGTTTGAGAGCGGAGGCTGGCGGACCCAGGTACCACATACTCACGACCAGGTTCCAGGACAGTGGTGCGGGCAATCCGGACGACATGGGCGGCAGCAGGCTGGTAATTGGGGTCGTAGCGTGGAACTTTTACGTTGAAGAGGGATATCTCTCGGCGGCCGTAGTCCAGGCATGCATTGGACTGACGCAGGAAGGGATGTCCCAGGATGACCTCGGTGCTTCGGGCGGTGTCGGCCATAATGAAATTTACATCCGTTGTTCTGCTCCCCACGAAGACAGGCAAGACAACTTCGCCCAGGATAAATAAACCTTCAGGCCCTATTCCCTGCAGAACCTTGGCGATGGATGGCTGTACAGGCGGCCTGGACTGGGTTGGCAGAGAGTTGAAATGGTGTAGGGGCAGCACGTTTCGTCTCGCTCCAGAATCCAACAGAGCGCTAAGTCTTAGTCTGTGTATCATAATCTGAACACACATATCTTCTTCTTGGCTTTTACTGCATACAATTACTGCACCAGTGTCAGACGATGGGTTAGGAATTAAACTAACTTGTCTTTGCTGGGGGCGGCGTGGAGAGGGACATTGCTTCTGGATATGCCCCACGCCGGAGCAGTTGTGACAAACGACCTCCTGTGAGGTCATTTTGCTGGTCATAGTCTTATTTGGATGTTGTTGACGAGCTTTTAGCGCCCTGTGTGTGTGCTGGGCGGACGTAACAGGAGCGCACCTTGGTTGATCGCATTCAGAGGCTGGAGCATCCTCCAATACCACAGCCGCTCTTGCTGCCGAGCCGCGGGGACCCAGCCCTGGACGCATCATCTGTGTTACGGCCCTGGCTGCTCTCTTTGTGGTCACGTACCGGTGGGCAATGTCATAGGCACAAGCGAGTGTACGAGGCTTCTCTTCAAGGAGCTTTTGGATAATGTCAGCGTCGGTCATCGCATTAGTGAAAATCTCCACAGCTACACAGTCCTGTTCCAGTTCAGTACGGTCACCATACACAATAGCGACCTTTTCATAGATGTCGTCTCGGAGTGTGTGCATGGTTTCACCTTGTTTCCTGACTCTCTGCCTCAGCTCGATGCCAACAGCTGCAGCGTGCTCTGACTGCGGCCCATAAGCAGCGTCCACTTCCTTCACAATGTGCTCATAGCTCCAGTTAGCAGAGTTGGGGTTCTTGTGGACAATAGCGCCAGCAGCACCACTTAAACTGAATCTGAGTTGAATAGCTTTAGTCTCTTCTGACCAGTGATTGGCTCTGGCACATGTTTCAAACTGGTAAATAAAGCCTTTCCACGAACCTGTCCCATCAAAGTTACCGGGTCGCAGAGTAGGGATTCTCTCTTTAATCCTGTAACATTCTTCATCACTGCTATCCGCGCATGCCTCCACAACCCGGCGGCGGGGCGCTGACTTTGCCCGCTTATAACTGGGACGACCTGGGTCACATTCATGGGTACTCACACTTGGCCTCCCAGGAAGGCACGGGTATGGGCTGGAACTTAGAACCGGAGCGCTAAACCTAATGGTGGCATCTGGCAGAAAAAATGGCCCGCTGTGGGGTTGAGTAGGCAAACCGGCTGCACAGTCACAGTTAATGGGCTTAGGAAGAGTCTGGAAAACTGTGTTTTCATTCACATCGTTCTTTGTCACAAATGGGGTTAATTTGTAGTCGTCAGAATAATGGACGGTCCTAGATTGACAACCGACCGTGTCCGCGGGGGTCAGGAAGGGGTTTGTGTGTGCCGATGGTGGCGGTGTGGGCGGCCATAACGCCCCTTGTTGCTGCGTCGGCCCGCGGTGCTCGTTCTGCGCAGCTAATAGCTCCATGCTATTGACAACCGGGCTGATCTCGTTTCTATTACGAACCATCATATTTAGCATAGCTCTTTCAGTCTCTGCCAACTCTGGCCAAAACGGGTTGGTGCTCTTGTTATGCTCTGTTACCTTCGAACGTGTTTTAAAATCCGCATTGCCATTTTCACGGTAAACAGGCGCCGCCATTTTCTCGTCGTGGTCCCTGTATTTTCTCCGGACTTGCAAAGACGGATCCCGGACTCGAGCCCCCAGTGTTACTATTCTTCCCCTGCCCAGTGATCTCTTAACCGTAGTACAGAGGCTGAACAGGCGTAGTACTCGTTAGACGTATTTTTATTCCAAAAATAGAACAGGAGCATGACAGAGGAGCCTTAATGAGAAGAGAGGCCACTGCAGAACAGAGCGTTGAGCGCCAAAACAACAGACTACACCGACCCAAGACATCCCACAATGCACCGCTCTTAAAGGGCCAGGCTTGGCCTATTACAATATACATGAACTGCAGAATCATTTATATAACTTGGCCAATGTCAAAAGTTACATAGTATTTCTCAATACAATGAGTTAACAAGAGTTTGGCAATAAGTAACAGTGTGGATTTTTCTATATTTTCTTTTTTTTATTCCACTCTCTACCCAAAAAGGCAAGTAATGACTCACAGGGCTCTCAAGTATGCAAAATAAAAACTTAAATGACCTGTTGTGGTGTGTTTTGCGCACAACCAGCATGCATCGTTAACGCAATGGAAAATGTAGGTATCCGAGCTTTAATTTCGGGAGCGCTGGTTGCGCTTTGGGAAGAGTCAGGGGAGAGACATGTCAGAGACACAGGGGAGAAACGGGGGAGATACGCACTTGCAACATGGTTCTGTAAGTAAGTTTTTATTTATATACCGCCTTTTCACTGCAGATCTGAGTCTCAAAGCGGTTTACAATTGTTAATTTTGGGCATTAGTCTCTCACTCCACACAGAGATGGGAGCGGGGTCAGTACAGGAGGCGCATGCCAGAACTATTGGACATATTTTTAGTGGTAGGGGAAACCGGAGTACCCGGAGGAAACCTACGCAGACACGGGGAGAACATGCAAACTCCACTCAGAAAGGCCCTGGTCCGACCGGGATTCGAACCCAGGACCTTCTTGCTGAGAGTCGAGAGTGCTATCCACTCAGCCACCGTGCCGCTCTGTCTGCATATGGTCCGAGCTCGGTACCATGTTAGAGCTGTGCTTTCACTGAGCCCCGCGGCTGTCATTACAAAGCGGCAGCAGCTGCACCAGGACGTGCACATTCGAGTGCATCGCTTGAATGTGCTTATAGCAAATAACAGAAAGTCGGATTTTGTTGGGATTTTAGTGTCCCTTGTCATCCTGAACTTTTTTTCTTCTTAAATCCTTCAGTTTTCTTTAAATCCACATTTTACTGCCACAAACTCTACTCGTCTGGCTCCCGCTCTAACTCCCGCTCTAACTCTCGCTCTGATCAGCAGCTCTGATTGGTCAGAGCTGCCCCATGTGCACGTGCATGACAGCCACGCATGCGTATTTGGCGCAAAGCATCATGGGAGCTCGTCCACTGCGCAGAACCGGGAGGACCAGGCGATGCCCAAAAATAGGCGAGTTCCGCTAATCTCTCAGGCTCGTGAAGTCAGTTGATTCACTGTTTTGCCAAAGCCAAATTCATGAACAGAGCAGGTCGGAGCATGAGTGGGTTCATCATGGCTCCTGAAGTTACTAACAAACTTTTGGCACAAACTTCATTTTGATATATTTTTTCATTTAGACTGTAATTGTTGCTGTTTGAATAAATAAAAACATCTTAGATCAATGTTGTGTTTTTTTCTGCATTAACAAAAATGCTCCTCGCTTTAGATTAGGGTACTGCAAAATAGTGTAATAAGCAGTTTATTATCACATGGTGTGGGTCTGTGGAGGATGAAGTATTGCTGATAGAAGATAAAAATGATGACGGCAAAAATCAGGAAAGTGTAAAAATGTAAATATTTTTTAATGAATGTTTTGATGATGAGGAAAGAACTTATGAGCTTTTTATTCTCCTTTTGAAACTTTTTTGTCTTTCTTGAATTATTTGTGCATGTTATTGTGTATTGTAAAACTGCTCAAATAAAAATACTACTACTTCATTGTGTTGCTTCTCCTCTTCATTGTGTTGCTTCTCCTCTTCATTGTGTTGCTTCTCCTCTTCATTGTGTTGCTTGGAATTAAATCTGCCCATCTAATTAGCATATCACGATGTAATAGGGGCGTGGCCATCATACTGACTGACACATTCAGAACTCACATGGTACCACACTTGATAGTACCACACTTGATGGTCCGGGAAATATAAAACAGTTTGAATACACTTTGACACATATTGTCTTAAAGGTACAGGAGGATGTTCTACTTCCGGGTGGATCATCAAGACTATTGGTCCTCCCAACTGCCAATCATTCTGGTGATACTTGCTCGTCCAATGAGAGCAGAGAGTTTGGTTTAAAAAGTGGAAAGGACGAAAAATCCTCCTCTTTACCTTTAAGTCAGACCGCACGGACTGAAAAACTGTCTTTACTGACATCGGGCTGTTCTGAGCCTTTAGAAGGATCTATAACAGAGCTGAAGTTGGCTGAATGACCCAGTCCCTGAGAGTCAGAGGGAGGAGCAGCTGTGGAACCAGTCTGACCTGTGGACACACCTCCAGTCAGGAACGACTCAGTTTCTCTGTGATGACCTCATAGATCCATGTGATGACACAGACACAGAGACAAACAGGAAGTCATTGTTGTTGTATTATTCCATTGAAACCAGCACCACATGTTTATACATCAATAAAACAGACAAATTACACACAGACACACTCACTCACACACAGACACACACACACACACCTGTCCTGCATCGGGGCCTCTGTCAGGACTAGAGAGGGAGGTTTATACTACATGTTTTTAGTGGTAAGGGAAACCGGAGCACCTGGAGGAAACTCCATTCAGACATGCCCTGGTCCGACCGGGAATCTATCCCAGGACCATCTCACTGAGAAGGGAGAGTGCAAACTTCTGCCCCCCGTTTTGATTCTTTTGGGAAACATAGAATTGATGAATCTAACCAACAGTGTTTGTGATTCTCAAAGGGCTGTGTGCCCCAGGGCAGCTGTGGCTACAGTATTGGCTGAAGGAAGCTGAACATTCAGTTTGTCACAGAATACACTGAGTCTGTTTGTATTTGTCATAATGGAAAGGCAAGTTTATTTGTATAGCACAATTCATCAATATGGCACCTTCCTGGGCAGTGTGTGTGTCTGTGCGTGCGTGTGTGTGTGTGTGCGTGTGTGCGTGCGTGCGTGTGTGTGTGCGTGTGCGTGCGTGTGCAAGTGCGTGTGTATTCTAGATAGATGACAGAACCATGAGATTGGTCCTGGGACTTGTAATGCCACCTTCCACCAGCAGATGGGGGTGTGTCCTCAGTGTTCCTGTCTCTTTAAACACGTGTGTCAGAGTTCACAGCGTGAGGCATAAAGTTTATGTTTAAGACCTGGACACACGGTTTTAGCAGCAGAAGTATCGGCTGAAGGTCTGCTTTCAGAGGTCCAGGTCCAGTCCAGGTCCAGGGACAGGTCAGACTGGTCTCCCCGCCTCTGAGGCTCTGTGCGCGGCTGGAGGCGGGTCTCTCTGGTCTCTCCGGTCTCACTGTGGTCTCCCTCCGGTCTCACTGTGGTCTCCCTCCGGTCTCACTGTGGTCTCTCCTCCTCCTCCACATGTGGACTACACTCCGCGATCTCACATTTTAACCATTTTACAAACATGTCTTTTTAACACTTTCACGGCGCCTTTCCGGATCTCATTTAACGTTTTTGAAGTTCATTAACGTCCGGACCGTTTAGTTTTAACCGTATTTTGTGTAGTTCACCTTAAATATAGTGATTTTTGCGTCTTTTCCGTAACTTCCCGATGGAGCCTCCGAACCCGTTTATCCACAAAGTGAGACTGAGCCAGACTCAGAGGATCAGGGTGAGTCTGTGATAACTCTATCTTCTTAAATATGTTCAGTCTGTGGATAAATATGTACAGTCTGTGGATAAATATGTTCAGTCTGTGGATAAATATGTACAGTCTGTGGATAAATATGTACAGTCTGTGGATAAATATGTACAGTCTGTGGATAAATATGTACAGTCTGTGGATAAATATGTACAGTCTGTGGATAAATATGTTCAGTCTGTGGATAAATATGTACAGTCTGTGGATAAATATGTACAGTCTGTGGATAAATATGTACAGTCTGTGGATAAATATGTACAGTCTGTGGATAAATATGTTCAGTCTGTGGATAAATATGTTCAGTCTGTGGATAAATATGTACAGTCTGTGGATAAATATGTACAGTCTGTGGATAAATATGTTCAGTCTGTGGATAAATATGTACAGTCTGTGGATAAATATGTACAGTCTGTGGATAAATATGTACAGTCTGTGGATAAATATGTTCAGTCTGTGGATAAATATGTTCAGTCTGTGGATAAATATGTTCAGTCTGTGGATAAATATGTTCAGTCTGTGGATAAATATGTTCAGTCTGTGGATAAATATGTACAGTCTGTGGTTAAATATGTACAGTCTGTGGATAAATATGTTCAGTCTGTGGATAAATATGTTCAGTCTGTGGATAAATATGTTCAGTCTGTGGATAAATATGTACAGTCTGTGGATAAATATGTTCAGTCTGTGGATAAATATGTACAGTCTGTGGATAAATATGTACAGTCTGTGGATAAATATGTACAGTCTGTGGATAAATATGTACAGTCTGTGGATAAATATGTACAGTCTGTGGATAAATATGTTCAGTCTGTGGATAAATATGTTCAGTCTGTGGATAAATATGTTCAGTCTGTGGATAAATATGTACAGTCTGTGGATAAATATGTACAGTCTGTGGATAAATATGTACAGTCTGTGGATAAATATGTTCAGTCTGTGGATAAATATGTTCAGTCTGTGGATAAATATGTTCAGTCTGTGGATAAATATGTTCAGTCTGTGGATAAATATGTTCAGTCTGTGGATAAATATGTACAGTCTGTGGATAAATATGTACAGTCTGTGGTTAAATATGTTCAGTCTGTGGATAAATATGTACAGTCTGTGGATAAATATGTACAGTCTGTGGATAAATATGTTCAGTCTGTGGTTAAATATGTACAGTCTGTGGATAAATATGTACAGTCTGTGGATAAATATGTACAGTCTGTGGATAAATATGTACAGTCTGTGGATAAATATGTACAGTCTGTGGATAAATATGTTCAGTCTGTGGATAAATATGTTCAGTCTGTGGATAAATATGTTCAGTCTGTGGATAAATATGTACAGTCTGTGGATAAATATGTACAGTCTGTGGATAAATATGTTCAGTCTGTGGATAAATATGTTCAGTCTGTGGATAAATATGTTCAGTCTGTGGATAAATATGTTCAGTCTGTGGATAAATATGTTCAGTCTGTGGATAAATATGTACAGTCTGTGGATAAATATGTACAGTCTGTGGTTAAATATGTTCAGTCTGTGGATAAATATGTACAGTCTGTGGATAAATATGTACAGTCTGTGGATAAATATGTTCAGTCTGTGGTTAAATATGTACAGTCTGTGGATAAATATGTACAGTCTGTGGTTAAAAACACACTTCTTAAGGTTAATTCTGAGTTAAAGGTGACAGAACTGCGTTCACGGGTTAATGACATCTGATTTAAAGTCTGTAAAAATGTCTCAAAGTTTATGTTTTAGTCATTTTTTTATGTTTTTAATTCATGTTTGTGTGAGTCCGATCTAAAAAGCTGCTCTACGTAACTTTTTTTACTTAACGTTATTAAAGCTCGGGTCCGTAAACTTGGCTTGTTCAACAGACAATCTGGGAAAAGTCAATGTTGTTTTTCTGTGTTTGATTTATTGGACTGAATCAACGTGTGTGTGTGTGTGTGTGTGTGTGTGTGTGTGTGTGTAAACACGCCAGATTTAGCCTCGAAGATAGTTTCCGCCTGTAGTCCCAGGGCAGGGGGCCTTACACACACACACACATACATATATATACACACAACATACACAACATAAACAATATATACACACAACATGCATACATTAAAAGCAGGTTAGTAAAAGCACAGTACGGGACAAGAGCAGACACTAACACGGACATCAACAGAATAATAATAATAATAATGCTACAGTTGTATACCTTTGTCTCTAACCCTGTATTTTAGTGTAAGAAAGATATCTGAGTCTTTGGGCTGAGAGCTGAGGGGGGTCTCTCTCCCTTTTCAATTTTCTGTCTCTCTGGTCGGTCTCTCTCTGGTCTCTCTCTGGTCTCTCTCTCTGGTCTCTCCCTCTGGTCTCTCTCTGGTCTCTCTCTCTGGTCTCTCTCTCTGGTCTCTCTCTCTGGTCTCTCTCTCTGGTCTCTCCCTCTGGTTTCTCTCTGGTCTCTCTCTGGTCTCTCTCTGGTCTCTCTCTCTGGTCTCTCCCTCTGGTCTCTCTCTGGTCTCTCTCTGGTCTCTCTCTCTGGTCTCTCTCTCTGGTCTCTCTCTCTGGTCTCTCCCTCTGGTCTCTCTCTCTGGTCTCTCTCTCTGGTCTCTCTCTCTGGTCTCTCTCTCTGGTCTCTCCCTCTGGTCTCTCTCTGGTCTCTCTCTCTGGTCTCTCTCTGGTCTCTCTCTGGTCTCTCTCTCTGGTCTCTCTCTGGTCTCTCCCTCTGGTCTCTCTCTGGTCTCTCCCTCTGGTCTTCCCATAGAGGGACCGGGACCATAATAGTGAGTCACTGTTGTACTCTCTCGTGCTGAGTGAGGGTGGTCCTTCATTAAAGTCTCATTGTTGAAAGTTACGTCCCTGAGCTTTACTCCCTCTATCCTCAGGGTGTGCTCCTGGGCAGCTTCCTCTTCCCTCTGCGCCTCTTCCTCGCCGCCCTCCTCTTCCTCATCATGTGGCCCCTGGCTCGGCTGCGGTTCCTGGGTGTGTCCGAGGAGCAGAGGGCCCGGCCTGTGAGCGGCTGGAGGCGGTGGCTGCTCCACCCGCTGGTGTGGGCCCTGAGCCGCGGGGCCTTCTTCTGCCTGGGCTTCCTCTGGGTCCGGGTGAAGGGGAAGAGAGCCGACGTCACAGAAGCTCCGGTGTTAGTCGCTGCTCCACACCGCGGCTTCCTGGACATGATCGTCCTGCTGCCCACCCAGCTGCCCACGGTGGTGTCGCGGTCCGAGAACACCTCTCTGCCGGTCATCGGAGGTGAGGCTCTCCTGAACATGTTAGCTCATGTTAGCTTTAGGTTAGCTCATGTTAGCTTTAGGTTAGCTTTAGTTCAGCTTTAGGTTAGCTCTGGTCTGACCACGGTGGTGTCGCGGCCCGAGAAAACCTCTCTGCTAGTCATCATACGTAAGGGTCTCCTGAACAGGTTAGCTTTAGCATAGCTTTAGGTTAGCTCATGTTAGCTCTAGGTTAGCTCCAGGTTAGCTTTAGGTTAGCTCTGAACTGCCAACTGGTGTCGTGATCCAAGAAAAACACTGCCAGTCATCGGAGGTAACTTACATGAACATGGTTAGCTCCAGGTTAGGTCCAGGTTAGGTCCAGGTTAGGTCCAGGTTAGGTCCAGGTTAGGTCCAGGTTAGGTCCAGGTTAGGTCTAGGTTAGCTCTAGGTAAGCTCCAGGTTAGCTCTAGGTTAGCTCCAGGTTAGCTTTAGGTTAGCTCTGAACTTCCAACTGGTGTCGTGATCCAGGAAAAACACTGCCAGTCATCGGAGGTAACTCTCATGAACATGGTTAGCCCCAGGTTAGCCCCAGGTTAGCTCCAGGTTAGGTTCAGGTTAGCTCCAGGTTAGTTCAAGGTTAGCTCCAGGATAGTTCTAGGTTGGCTCAGATTCAGATTCAGATTCAGATTCATTTATTTGCCATTTGCAGTAAAACCACATTGGAAAAACTGTGCAAGACTACCCCGTTATGCACCAGACAGAGAAGACGACACACACCAGAGCTCTTGTCACGGCGCCATCTTTACGGCGCCAGCTCCAAGTTAGTTCCAGGTTAGTTCCAGGTTAGCTCCAGGTTAGCTCCAGGTTAGCTCCAGGTTAGGTCCAGGTTAGGTCCAGGTTAGCTCTAGGTTAGCTCCAGGTTAGCTCCAGGTTAGGTCCAGGTTAGCTCCAGGTTAGGTCCATGTTAGCTCCAGGTTAGCTCTAGGTTAGCTCCAGGTTAGTTCTAGGTTAGCTCCAAGTTAGCCCCAGGTTAGCTCCAGGTTAGCTCCAGGTTAGCTCCAGGTTAGGTCCAGGTTAGCGCCAGGTTAGCTCTAGGTTAGCTCTAGGTTAGCTCCAGGTTAGTTCTAGGTTAGCTCCATGTTAGCTCCAGGTTAGCTCTATGTTAGCTCCAGGTTAGCTCTAGGTTAGCTCTATGTTAGGTCCAGGTTAGCGCCAGGTTAGCTCTATGTTAGCTCTATGTTAGCTCCAGGTTAGCTCTAGGTTAGCTCCAGGTTAGCTCCAGGTTAGCTCTTGCCTTGCTAAAGTTGGGATACCTCAATAGTTCCTGATTGACAGGTGTAGTTTGTCTTTTGCATCCTCATAAGAAAGAACCTGAGTCACTTTTTGACTCTTTACCCTGTTTAACCAGTACCAGGAGGAAACCATAAAACCATAAATGTGAAAACTAGAGATGGAACCAAACTGTTATTGAGAATTTAGAGACCTCAGCTTTAAGACTCCTATCTCCATGGAAACACAGCATTGGCGCTGGTTGTGTGTTGTATGTTGTGTGTTTGTCTAATCGTTGTGTTTGTGTGAAGCCATGAATTGTTTTCTATTTTCAAACCAACATCTCTGAGCCTCTGTTCATGCGAGGCGGCCCAGGAATTTACAGAGCGTGATGCAACAGGGTGAGAGTTTAAACATGTGACTGTTTTAAACATGGAACAGTCACACGACACGTGTCCTGTCCGTGTCCTGGTCCGTGTCCTGGTCCTGGTCCTGGTCCGTGTCCTGGTCCGTGTCATGGTCTGTGTCCTGGTCCGTGTCATGGTCTGTGTCCTGGTCCGTGTCCGTGTCCTGGTCCGTGTCCTGGTCCGTGTCCTGGTCCGTGTCTTGGTCCGTGTCCTGGTCCGTGTCTTGGTCCGTGTCCTGTCGTGTCCTGGTCCGTGTCTTGGTCCGTGTCCTGGTCCGTGTCCTGGTCCGTGTCCTGGTCCGTGTCCTGGTCCGTGTCCTGGTCCGTGTCCTGGTCCGTGTCCTGTCCGTGTCCTGGTCCGTGTCCTGGTCCGTGTCCTGGTCCGTGTCATGGTCCGTGTCCGTGTCCTGGTCCGTGTCCTGGTCCGTGTCATGGTCCGTGTCCTGGTCCGTGTCCTGGTCCGTGTCCGTGTCCTGGTCCGTGTCTTGGTCCGTGTCCTGGTCCTGGTCCTGGTCCGTGTCCTGGTCCGTGTCATGGTCTGTGTCCTGGTCCGTGTCATGGTCTGTGTCCTGGTCCGTGTCCGTGTCCGTGTCCTGGTCCGTGTCCTGGTCCGTGTCCTGGTCCGTGTCCTGGTCCGTGTCCTGGTCCGTGTCCTTGGTCCGTGTCCTGGTCCGTGTCTGGTCCGTGTCCTGGTCCGTGTCCTGGTCCGTGTCCTGGTCCGTGTCCTGGTCCGTGTCCTGGTCCGTGTCCTGGTCCGTGTCCTGTCCGTGTCCTGGTCCGTGTCCTGGTCCGTGTCCTGGTCCGTGTCCATGGTCCGTGTCCGTGTCCTGGTCCGTGTCCTGGTCCGTGTCTGGTCCGTGTCCTGGTCCGTGTCCTGGTCCGTGGTCCGTGTCCGTGTCGTGTCCTGGTCCTGTCTTGGTCCGTGTCCTGGTCCGTGTCCTGGTCCGTGTCCTGGTCCGTGTCTTGGTCCGTGTCCTGGTCCGTGTCCTGGTCCGTGTCCTGGTCCGTGTCCTGGTCCGTGTCATGGTCCGTGTCCTGGTCCGTGTCCTGGTCCGTGTCCTGGTCCGTGTCCTGGTCCGTGGCCTGGTCCGTGGCCTGGTCCGTGTCCTGGTCCGTGTCCTGGTCCGTGTCCTGGTCCGTGTCCTGGTCCGTGTCCTGGTCCGTGTCCTGGTCCGTGTCCTGGTCCGTGTCCTGGTCCGTGTCATGGTCCGTGTCCTGGTCCGTGTCTTGGTCCTGTAGAGACCAGGGCTGGGGACTGGAACAATGTGAGGATCTGATAGAACTGTGGTATTTGAGCCTGGATTCACTTTTATTGCAATTCTTAACATACTGCGATATACAGTCTGACACTCTGGTCTCTCTCTGATCCTCTGGTCTCTCTCTGACACTCTGGTCTCTCTCTGATCCTCTGGTCTCTCTCTGATCCTCTGGTCTCTCTCTGATCCTCTGGTCTCTCTCTGACACTCTGGTCTCTCTCTGATCCTCTGGTCTCTCTCTGATCCTCTGGTCTCTCTCTGACACTCTGGTCTCTCTCTGACACTCTGGTCTCTCTCTGATCCTCTGGTCTCTCTCTGACACTCTGGTCTCTCTCTGATCCTCTGGTCTCTCTCTGATCCTCTGGTCTCTCTCTGATCCTCTGGTCTCTCTCTGAGACTCTGGTCTCTCTCTGACACTCTGGTCTCTCTCTGACACTCTGGTCTCTCTCTGATCCTCTGGTCTCTCTCTGATCCTCTGGTCTCTCTCTGACACTCTGGTCTCTCTCTGATCCTCTGGTCTCTCTCTGATCCTCTGGTCTCTCTCTGATCCTCTGGTCTCTCTCTGACACTCTGGTCTCTCTCTGACACTCTGGTCTCTCTCTGATCCTCTGGTCTCTCTCTGATCCTCTGGTCTCTCTCTGATCCTCTGGTCTCTCTCTGATCCTCTGGTCTCTCTCTGATCCTCTGGTCTCTCTCTGATCCTCTGGTCTCTCTCTGATCCTCTGGTCTCTCTCTGATCCTCTGGTCTCTCTCTGATCCTCTGGTCTCTCTCTGATCCTCTGGTCTCTCTCTGATCCTCTGGTCTCTCTCTGATCCTCTGGTCTCTCTCTGATCCTCTGGTCTCTCTCTGATCCTCTGGTCTCTCTCTGATCCTCTGGTCTCTCTCTGATCCTCTGGTCTCTCTCTGATCCTCTGGTCTCTCTCTGATCCTCTGGTCTCTCTCTGATCCTCTGGTCTCTCTCTGATCCTCTGGTCTCTCTCTGATCCTCTGGTCTCTCTCTGACACTCTGGTCTCTCTCTGATCCTCTGGTCTCTCTCTGATCCTCTGGTCTCTCTCTGATCCTCTGGTCTCTCTCTGACACTCTGGTCTCTCTCTGATCCTCTGGTCTCTCTCTGATCCTCTGGTCTCTCTCTGACACTCTGGTCTCTCTCTGATCCTCTGGTCTCTCTCTGTCCTCTGGTCTCTCTCTGACACTCTGGTCTCTCTCTGATCCTCTGGTCTCTCTCTGATCCTCTGGTCTCTCTCTGATCCTCTGGTCTCTCTCTGACACTCTGGTCTCTCTCTGATCCTCTGGTCTCTCTCTGATCCTCTGGTCTCTCTCTGACACTCTGGTCTCTCTCTGATCCTCTGGTCTCTCTCTGATCCTCTGGTCTCTCTCTGATCCTCTGGTCTCTCTCTGATCCTCTGGTCTCTCTCTGATCCTCTGGTCTCTCTCTGAGACCGAAGCGAGAGAGACCAGCAGGCCTCTCCAACCTTTTTTCACTTTTTTAGTTGATCTAAAGATGAGACCAAAGATTAAAGCTGTGACAGAATCAAACTGTTTTAGAGCCAGGAGCAGGAGACACTGGTTTGTGTGTGTCTGGTCTGGTCTGGTCTGGTCTGGTCCGGTCCATCTTCTTTTGTTTTGCTTTATGATGTTGATTTGAGGCCTGTATGATCTTTTTGTTTTGAGCAGAGCAAATTTTTTAGTTTTAAATTTGAAATCTTCTTTGCTTTGAATTGTCATCTGCCATGAGTTGTCAGGTTAGCTCCAGGTTAGCTCCAGGTTAGTTCTATGTTAGCTCCAGGTTAGCTCCAGGTTAGTTCTATGTTAGCTCCAGGTTAGCTCCAGGTTAGCTCTATGTTAGCTCCAGGTTAGCTCCAGGTTAGCTCTATGTTAGCTCCAGGTTAGCTCCAGGTTAGCTCTATGTTAGCTCCAGGTTAGCTCCAGGTTAGCTCCAGGTTAGCTCTATGTTAGCTCCAGGTTAGCTCCAGGTTAGCTCTATGTTAGCTCCAGGTTAGCTCCAGGTTAGCTCTATGTTAGCTCCAGGTTAGCTCCAGGTTAGCTCTATGTTAGCTCCAGGTTAGCTCCAGGTTAGCTCCAGGTTAGCTCCAGGTTAGCTCTATGTTAGCTCCAGGTTAGCTCCAGGTTAGCTCTAGGTTAGCTCCAGGTTAGCTCCAGGTTAGTTCCAGTGAGAGAGAGAGAGACAGGGGCCTAATGTCAGGGACAGAGGGGGAGGAGCTGGAGCTGTATTTAGAAGCTGCCCTGAGTCTCACAGGTGAAAGTGACTGCTGTGGTTCAGAGAATAAAAACTGTGTCTATGGTCTCTCTCTCTGGTCTCTCTCTGGTCCCTATCTCTGGTCTCTCTCTGGTCTCTCTCTGGTCTCTCTCTGGTCCCTCTCTCTGGTCTCTCTCTGGTCTCTCTCTGGTCTCTCTCTGGTCTCTCTCTCTGGTCTCTCTCTGGTCTCTCTCTCTGGTCCCTCTCTCTGGTCTCTCTCTCTGGTCTCTCTCTGGTCTCTCTCTGGTCTCTCTCTCTCTCTCTGGTCCCTCTCTTCTGGTCTCTCTCTGGTCTCTCTGGTCTCTCTCTGGCCTCTCTCTGGTCTCTCTCTGGTCTCTCTCTGGTCTCTCTCTCTCTGGTCTCTCTCTGGTCTCTCTCTCTCTGGTCTCTCTCTCTGGTCCCTCTCTTCTGGTCTCTCTCTGGCCTCTCTCTGGTCTCTCTCTCTGGTCTCTCTCTGGTCTCTCTCTGGTCTCTCTCTGGCCTCTCTCTGGCCTCTCTCTGGTCTCTCTCTCTGGTCTAGCTCTGGTCTCGCTTTCCGGCCTCTCTCTCTGGTCTCTCTCTGGTCTCTCTCTGGTCTCTCTCTCTCTGGTCTCTCTTTCGTCTCTCTCTTCCTTTCTCTGTTGTCTAATGTTTTCTGCTGAGAGGGTCTGGACTGAGTTTGTCATTTCTCACAAACGTCTTGTTCCTGAGTTTCCTCCTTCTACAGTCTGACAGTCTGACTCTCACATGGTTCTGCAGCTCCACCTCTGCTCTGGATTCCACAAATACTCATCTGTCACATTCAGGTGTGTTCAGTGTACTTAGACCCAGGACTGAGGCCGTAGACCCAAGACTGAGGCCGTAGACCCAAGACTGAGGCCGTAGACCCAGGGCTGAGGCCGTAGACCCAGGGCCGAGGCCGTAGTCCCAGGGCCGAGGCCGTAGACCCAGGACCGAGGCCGTAGACCCAGGACCGAGGCCGTAGACCCAGGACCGAGGCCGTAGACCCAGGGCCGAGGCCGTAGACCCAGGACCGAGGCCGTAGACCCTCTCTGGTCTCTCTCTGGTCCCTCCGGTCTCTCTCTGGTCTCTCTGGTCCCTCTGGTCTCTCTGGTCCCTCTGGTCTCTCTGGTCCCTCTGGTCTCTCTGGTCCCTATGGTCTCTCTCTGGTCCCTCTGGTCTCTCTCTGGTCCCTCTGGTCTCTCTCTGGTCTCTTTCTGGTCTCTCTGGTCCCTCTGTTCTCTCTCTGGTCCCTCTGGTCTTTCTCTGGTCTCTCTGGTCTCTCTCTTGTCCCTCTGGTCTCTCTCTGGTCCCTCTGGTCTCACCTGGTCCCTGTGTGCAGCTCTCCTGGAGTATAACCAGGCGGTGATGGTCAGTCGCACAGACCCTCAGTCCAGGAAACAGGCGGTGGCTCAACTCAACCAGAGGCTCACGTCCAAAGGATACTGGCCCCAGGTCTGTGTGTCTTGTCTGTCTGTGTCTGTCTGTCGGTCTGTCTGTCTGTGTGTGTCTGTGTATCTGTCTGTCTGTGTCTGTCTGTGTGTCTGTCTGTGTGTCTGTGTATCTGTCTGTGTGTCTGTGTGTCTGTCTGTGTGTCTGTGTATCTGTCTGTCTGTGTCTGTCTGTGTGTCTGTGTATCTGTCTGTGTGTCTGTCTGTGTGTCTGTGTATCTGTCTGTCTGTGTGTCTGTGTATCTGTCTGTGTGTCTGTCTGTCTGTGTGTGTCTGTGTATCTGTCTGTCTGTGTGTGTCTGTGTATCTGTCTGTGTGTCTGTCTGTGTGTCTGTGTATCTGTCTGTCTGTGTGTCTGTGTATCTGTCTGTGTGTCTGTCTGTGTGTCTGTGTATCTGTCTGTCTGTGTGTCTGTGTATCTGTCTGTGTATCTGTCTGTCTGTGTGTCTGTGTATCTGTCTGTGTGTCTGTCTGTCTGTGTGTCTTGTCTGTCTGTGTCTGTCTGTCGGTCTGTCTGTGTGTGTGTGTGTGTCTGTCTGTGTGTGTGTGTCTGTGTGTGTGTGTGTCTGTCTGTCTGTGTGTGTCTGTCTGTGTGTGTGTGTGTGTGTGTGTGTGTGTGTGTCTGTGTGTCTGTGTGTCTGTGTGTCTGTCTGTCTGTGTGTGTCTGTGTATCTGTCTGTCTGTGTGTCTGTGTATCTGTCTGTGTCTGTCTGTCTGTCTGTGTGTGTCTGTGTATCTGTCTGTCTGTGTCTGTCTGTGTGTCTGTCTGTGTGTCTGTGTATCTGTCTGTGTGTCTGTCTGTGTGTCTGTCTGTCTGTCTGTGTGTGTCTGTGTATCTGTCTGTCTGTGTCTGTCTGTGTGTCTGTCTGTGTGTCTGTGTATCTGTCTGTGTGTCTGTCTGTGTGTCTGTGTATCTGTCTGTGTCTGTCTGTGTGTCTGTCTGTCTGTGTGTGTCTGTGTATCTGTCTGTCTGTGTCTGTCTGTGTGTCTGTGTATCTGTCTGTGTGTCTGTGTGTCTGTCGGTGTCTGTGTATCTGTCTGTCTGTGTCTGTCTGTGTGTGTGTCTGTGTATCTGTCTGTGTGTCTGTCTGTGTGTCTGTGTATCTGTCTGTCTGTGTGTCTGTCTGTCTGTGTGTCTGTGTGTCTGTCTGTGTGTCTGTCTGTCTGTGTGTGTCTGTGTATCTGTCTGTCTGTGTGTCTGTCTGTGTGTCTGTGTGTCTGTCTGTGTGTCTGTCTGTCTGTGTGTGTCTGTGTATCTGTCTGTCTGTGTGTCTGTGTGTCTGTCTGTGTGTCTGTCTGTCTGTGTGTCTGTCTGTCTGTGTGTGTCTGTGTATCTGTCTGTCTGTGTGTCTGTCTGTGTGTCTGTCTGTCTGTGTGTCTGTGTATCTGTCTGTCTGTGTGTCTGTCTGTGTGTCTGTGTATCTGTCTGTGTGTCTGTGTGTCTGTGTATCTGTCTGTCTGTGTCTGTCTGTGTGTCTGTGTATCTGTCTGTCTGAAAACCATGTCTCAATAAAAGTGATTCATATCTGTTTATCGATAATTAATCCAGGTCCTGTTGATTGTTGTTGTTTTTGTGCAGATGCTGATGTTTTCTGAAGGAACCACAACAAACGGAAAAGCACTGATTAAGTTTAAACCCGGTGAGTCCTGGTCTCTCTCTCTCTCTCGCTCTCTCTCTCTCTCTCTGGTCTCTCTCTGGTCTATCTCTCTCTCTCTCTCTCTCTCTCTATCTCTCTATCTATCTCTATCTCTATACATGCAGAAGATAATGATCTAATCTCCAGTAACTACAGACACACACACTCATTCTCACAGTCCTATTGTTGTGGTTTGACAGACAGTTTCTCGGTTCTTAACTTCCCCGTGATCAGAGAAGAAAGCTGTTTGTTTTAGTCTTTAGTTTAGACAAGAAACCGGCTCCTTGTCTGCATCTGTGTGAGGACCGCTGAGGACCGCTGAGGACCGCTGAGGAATGATCGGCATGAGTCTCTGCGCGCCTCGCACCATCGTGACGTGTGTTTGTTTCTGCAGGTGCGTTTCTGGCCGGAGTCCCAGTCCAGCCTGTTCTGCTGCACTACCCAAACAAAGTGGTGAGTGACCGGGTTAAAGAGCTGTTCTACAGGGGGGGAGGGGCCGGGGGCGGGGCCAGGTGTACGGACGAGGGAGGGGGGGGGGCCAGGTGTATGGACGAGGGAGGGGGCGGGGCCAGGTGTACGGACGAGGGAGGGGGCGGGGCCAGGTGTATGGACGAGGGAGGGGGCGGGGCCAGGTGTATGGACGAGGGAGGGGGCGGGGCCAGGTGTACGGACGAGGGAGGGGGCGGGGCCAGGTGTACGGACGAGGGAGGGGGCGGGGCCAGGTGTACGGACGAGGGAGGGGGCGGGTCTCTCTCAGAATCCCTCTGGTCTCTCTCAGAATCATTTTTATTGCCACCTAAGTAACAGGAAGTCACAGACTTTGAAATTGCTTTGGCTCAGTGCAACAGTCAGAAAGAGAGGTAAAGGTAGAGAGGCATAATAAAAACTAAAAAGCACTTCTAAGAAATAAATTTAAAATAGAATTATTACAATTACAAATACAATATACAAGTGCACATGGTGCACACAATGTAAGGTTAGAGCAGTACAGTGAAGTAAAGTGACTTTATATCTCTGGTCTCTCTCTGGTCTCTCTCTGGTCTCTCTCTGGTCTCTCTCTGGTCTCTCTCTGGTCTCTCTCTGGTCTCTCTCTGGTCTCTTTCTGGTCTTTCTCTGGTCTCTCTCTGGTCTCTCTCTTGTAGCACTGTGCTCTGACTTTTACAGTATGTATTTTGAAAGTGGGAGGTTTTGTTGTGACCCTTCTATGTTGACGTGTTCCTAGGACACGGGTTCTAACAACACACCAACCTTTCCCACTGTTGTGACAGGTCAAACACACAAAGGAGAAAACGTCTAAATAATAGAAACAAAATCCATGTGCCGTAGACGATGGTGTACATGAGGAGCTTCTTCCCACTTGTGGAGGACCTCTGAAGCTAAGCAGGGCAGGGCCTGGTTAGTGCTGTGATGGGAGACCTCTGAACAGCAGGTGCCACAGTGGGGCGGCTGTAGCTGAAAAGTTGTGGCTCCTGTAGTAGTTTATCACCACTGTGTTTGGTGTGAATAATATGAAGAGACTTAGAGAGTCCAGAAAAGCTGTCTATAAAACAGATTTATTATTATTAATATTATTATTATTCTTTTACTCATCATACACGTACTGCAGCTGTTTATGAATCTATACTTTGTGCTGCGACTCCCCCAGAGCTGGTGTTTAGACTTCCTCTGCTCAGTCTGAAGCAGCTCTGATGTGTTTAATAATCAGAGTTTACAGACTTCCTCTGCTCAGTCTGAAGCAGCTCTGATGTGTTTAATAATCAGAGTTTACAGACTTCCTCTGCTCAGTCTGAAGCAGCTCTGATGTGTTTAATAATCAGAGTTTACAGACTTCCTCTGCTCAGTCTGAAGCACCTCTGATGTGTTTAATAATCAGAGTTTACAGACTTCCTCTGCTCAGTCTGAAGCAGCTCTGATGTGTTTAATAATCAGAGTTTACAGACTTCCTCTGCTCAGTCTGAAGCAGCTCTGATGTGTTTAATAATCAGAGTTTACAGACTTCCTCTGCTCAGTCTGAAGCAGCTCTGATGTGTTTAATAATCAGAGTTTACAGACTTCCTCTGCTCAGTCTGAAGCAGCTCTGATGTGTTTAATAATCAGAGTTTACAGACTTCCTCTGCTCAGTCTGAAGCAGCTCTGATGTGTTTAATAATCAGAGTTTACAGACTTCCTCTGCTCAGTCTGAAGCACCTCTGATGTGTTTAATAATCAGAGTTTACAGACTTCCTCTGCTCAGTCTGAAGCAGCTCTGATGTGTTTAATAATCAGAGTTAATAATTATGGTTCTGTGACGAGGATCTGGGCGCGGCGCCAGGACTTTACATCTGAAACTAGTCTGACACCAGTCTGAGTCTGATCACATGTTCTACTGCAACACGCATCCACTACACACTACACCTGGTGTGAGAGAGGGAGAGACCATAAACACACACTACACCTGGTGTGAGAGAGGGAGAGACCATAAACACACACACTACACCTGGTGTGAGAGAGGGACAGACCATAAACACACACTACACCTGGTGTGAGAGAGGGAGAGACCATAAACACACACACTACACCTGGTGTGAGAGAGGGACAGACCATAAACACACACACTACACCTGGTGTGAGAGAGGGGGGAGAGGGGGAGAGACCATAAACACACACACTACACCTGGTGTGAGAGAGGGGGGAGAGGGGGAGAGACCATAAACACACACACTACACCTGGTGTGAGAGAGGGGGGAGAGGGGGAGAGACCATAAACACACACACTACACCTGGTGTGAGAGAGGGAGAGACCATAAACACACACACTACACCTGGTGTGAGAGAGGGGGAGAGACCATAAACACACACACTACACCTGGTGTGAGAGAGGGGGGAGAGGGGGAGAGACCATAAACACACACACTACACCTGGTGTGAGAGAGGGGGGAGAGGGGGAGAGACCATAAACACACACACTACACCTGGTGTGAGAGAGGGGGGAGAGGGGGAGAGACCATAAACACACACACTACACCTGGTGTGAGAGAGGGGGGAGAGGGGGAGAGACCATAAACACACACACTACACCTGGTGTGAGAGAGGGAGAGACCATAAACACACACACTACACCTGGTGTGAGAGAGGGGGAGAGACCTAAACACACACACTACACCTGGTGTGAGAGAGGGGGGAGAGGGGGAGAGACCATAAACACACACACTACACCTGGTGTGAGAGAGGGAGAGACCATAAACACACACTACACCTGGTGTGAGAGAGGGAGAGACCATAAACACACACACTACACCTGGTGTGAGAGAGGGACAGACCATAAACACACACTACACCTGGTGTGAGAGAGGGAGAGACCATAAACACACACACTACACCTGGTGTGAGAGAGGGACAGACCATAAACACACACACTACACCTGGTGTGAGAGAGGGGGGAGAGGGGGAGAGACCATAAACACACACACTACACCTGGTGTGAGAGAGGGGGGAGAGGGGGAGAGACCATAAACACACACACTACACCTGGTGTGAGAGAGGGGGGAGAGGGGGAGAGACCATAAACACACACACTACACCTGGTGTGAGAGAGGGAGAGACCATAAACACACACACTACACCTGGTGTGAGAGAGGGGGAGAGACCATAAACACACACACTACACCTGGTGTGAGAGAGGGGGGAGAGGGGGAGAGACCATAAACACACACACTACACCTGGGGTGAGAGGGAGAGACCATAAACACACACACTACACCTGGTGTGAGAGAGGGGGAGAGACCATAAACACACACACTACACCTGGTGTGAGAGAGGGGGGAGAGGGGGAGAGACCATAAACACACACACTACACCTGGTGTGTGAGAGAGGGAGAGACCATAAACACACACACTACACCTGGTGTGTGAGAGTGGGGAGAGACCATAAACACACATACTACACGTGGTATGACAGGGAGAGACCATAAACACACACAATACACCTGGTATAAGAAAGGGGTGAGGGACGGAGAGAGAGAGAGAAAATCTACACTACACTGGATACAAAGAGAGAGGAGAGAGACCTGGGGGGAGGAATAGGGGGAGACAAATGGAGGGAAAGAAAGAGATGAGAAAGAGATGGGCGGCACGGTGGCTGAGTGGATAGCACTCTCGCCTCTCAGCAAGAAGGTCCTGGGTTCGAATCCTGGTCGGACCAGGGCCTTTCTGAGTGGAGTTTGCATGTTCTCCCCGTGTCTGCGTAGGTTTCCTCCGGGTACTCCGGTTTCCCCTACCACTAAAAATATGTACAATAGTTCTGGCATGCGCCTCCTGTACTGGCCCCTCCCATCTCTGTGTGGAGTGAGAGACAAATGCCCAAAATTAACAATTGTAAACCGCTTTGAGACTCAGATCTGCAGTGAAAAGGCGGTATATAAATAAAAACTTACTTACTTACTACTTAGAGGGAGAGAGACCAGAGAGAGAGACCAGAGAGAGAGACCAGAGAGAGAGACCAGAGAGAGAGACCAGAGAGAGAGACCAGAGAGAGAGACCAGAGAGAGCTCAAAGGTCGACTCTGAAACTCTAAAAGTCTAAAGTAAACGTCCTGCAGCTGCTCAGTGTTTGACCAGCCTCATGTTTGTGTTTCTATCGATGGTTATAAAAGTGTGAGAAGTGTTTTGGTTGGTGTGAGTGACTGACTTGTTTGTGGCAGGACACGGTCTGCTGGACGTTCAGAGGAACCTCCTGGTGAGTCCTGGTACCTTCATAGTCCCTGTGATAACACGCTTGTCGCCATAGTAACACGTGTCTTTCCCTCAGGCTGGAGTGTCTGTGGCACACGACGTCTCAGCTCTTTACAAACGTGACTGTGGAGGTAACTGTCGCTCTGGTCTCTCTCTCTGGTCCCTCTCTGGTCTCTCTCTCTGGTCTCTCTCTGGTCCCTCTCTGGTCTCTCTCTGGTCTCTCTCTGGTCTCTCTCTCTGGTCTCTCTCTCTGGTCTCTCTCTGGTCTCTCTCTGGTCTCTCTCTGGTCTCCATGAGGACACAGAGACCATGTGGACATTTCTGACTTAGCTCCATGTTTCAGTTTCTTCCAGTTTACAAACCATCAGAGGAGGAGAAGAAGGATCCTGGTCTTTACGCAGACAATGTGCAGAAGCTCATGGCAAAGTGAGTCTCATTATTACACTGGAGTCTGGAAATGTCCACTGCGCTCTCTCTCTCTCTGTCTCTGTCTCTCTCTCTGCTCTCTCTGCTCTCTCTCTCTCTGTCTGTATCTCTGTCTCTGTCTTTCTCTCTGCTCTCTCTCTCTGTCTGCATCTCTGTATTTCTGACTGTCTCTCTCTGTCTCTGTCTCTGTCTCTCTCTGTCTCTGTCTCTCTCTCTCTCTCTCTCTCTCTCTCTGTCTCTCTCTCTCTCTCTGTCTCTCTCTCTGTCTCTCTGTCTCTCTCTCTCTCTGTCTCTGTCTCTCTGTCTCTCTCTCTGTCTCTCTGTCTCTCTGTCTCTCTCTGTCTCTCTCTCTTTCTCTCTCTGTCTCTCGGTCTGTCTCTCTCTCTCTCTCTCTCTCTGTCTCTCTCTCACTCACTCGCTCGCTGGTGTGTAAGGTCCCAAAGGGTCAGAAGTTGCAGTTTGTTCAAAGAGGAGTGGCACATGTATCTCACCTGTTGTTACACTGACAGCCTCCAGAGGGCGCTGTAGGCTGCTCTACCACAGTCTGCACCAGAGGCTTTTCTTTTCATTTCTTTTTTGAATGTATATACTTTATACACACACAAAGACAAACGCACACTCAGACACACACAGACATACACAAAAACAGACACACACACACACACACACACACACACTTCCCCTTCTACCAGGAACAACACACATATTAAAATGGTCCATTTCCTCCTCACACGTGGTCCCTCCTTTACCTTCCCAGCACTGTTCCAGCACATGGTACGATCAACACGTTACATGTGTGTGCAGAGGCACATGCCACGCCCACCTCTGCTCTGTACCGCTTTGTACCATGTGTACTTTTACCAAAAAAAACCATTTGAATCTTCATTAAGAATATTCTCTCATTCACAAGCATTTGGACCATGGGTGCCGTTTTATTATTAAAAACTGCTTCCAATCTCACCTGGTTTGTCTTTGCTGGTATAGTTCATTAACCCTCTCACCTGGTCTGTCTCTGCTGGTATAGTTCAGTAACCCTCTCACCTGGTCTGTCTCTGCTGGTATAGTTCAGTAACCCTCTCACCTGGTCTGTCTCTGCTGGTATAGTTCAGTAACCCTCTCACCTGATCTGTCCTTGCTGGTATAGTTCATTAACCCTCTCACCTGGTCTGTCTCTGCTGGTATAGTTCAGTAACCCTCTCACCTGGTCTGTCTCTGCTGGTATAGTTCAGTAACCCTCTCACCTGGTCTGTCTCTGCTGGTATAGTTCATTAACCCTCTCACCTGGTCTGTCTCTGCTGGTATAGTTCAGTAACCCTCTCACCTGGTCTGTCTCTGCTGGTATAGTTCAGTAACCCTCTCACCTGGTCTGTCTCTGCTGGTATAGTTCAGTAACCCTCTCACCTGGTCTGTCTCTGCTGACATAGTTCAGTAACCCTCTCACCTGATCTGTCCTTGCTGGTATAGTTCATTAACCCTCTCACCTGGTATGTCCTTGCTGGTATAGTTCAGTAACCCTCTCACCTGGTCTGTCTCTGCTGGTATAGTTCAGTAACCCTCTCACCTGGTCTGTCTCTGCTGGTATAGTTCAGTAACCCTCTCACCTGGTCTGTCTCTGCTGGTATAGTTCAGTAACCCTCTCACCTGGTCTGTCTCTGCTGACATAGTTCAGTAACCCTCTCACCTGGTCTGTCTCTGCTGGTATAGTTCAGTAACCCTCTCACCTGGTCTGTCTTTGCTGACATAGTTCAGTAACCCTCTCACCTGATCTGTCCTTGCTGGTATAGTTCAGTAACCCTCTCACCTGGTCTGTCTCTGCTGGTATAGTTCAGTAACCCTCTAACCTGGTCTGTCTCTGCTGGTATAGTTCAGTAACCCGCTCACCTGGTCTGTCCTTGCTGGTATAGTTCAGTAACCCTCTAACCTGGTCTGTCTCTGCTGGTATAGTTCAGTAACCCTCTAACCTGGTCTGTCTCTGCTGGTATAGTTCAGTAACCCTCTCACCTGATCTGTCCTTGCTGGTATAGTTCAGTAACCCTCTCACCTGGTCTGTCTCTGCTGGTATAGTTCAGTAACCCTCTCACCTGATCTGTCCTTGCTGGTATAGTTCAGTAACCCTCTCACCTGGTCTGTCCTTGCTGGTATAGTTCAGTAACCCTCTCACCTGGTATGTCCTTGCTGGTATAGTTCAGTAACCCTCTCACCTGGTCTGTCTCTGCTGGTATAGTTCAGTAACCCTCTCACCTGGTCTGTCCTTGCTGGTATAGTTCAGTAACCCTCTCACCTGGTATGTCCTTGCTGGTATAGTTCAGTAACCCTTTCACCTGGTCTGTCTCTGCTGGTATAGTTCAGTAACCCTCTCACCTGGTCTGTCCTTGTTGGTATAGTTCAGTAACCCTCTCACCTGGTCTGTCCTTGTTGGTATAGTTCAGTAACCCTCTCACCTGGTCTGTCTCTGCTGGTATAGTTCAGTAACCCTCTCACCTGGTCTGTCTCTGCTGGTATAGTTCAGTAACCCTCTCACCTGGTCTGTCTCTGCTGGTATAGTTCAGTAACCCTCTCACCTGGTCTGTCCTTGTTGGTATAGTTCAGTAACCCTCTCACCTGGTCTGTCTCTGCTGGTATTGTTCAGTAACCCTCTCACCTGGTATGTCCTTGCTGGTATAGTTCAGTAACCCTCTCACCTGGTCTGTCCTTGCTGGTATAGTTCAGCAACCCTCTCACCTGGTATGTCCTTGCTGGTATAGTTCAGTAACCCTCTCACCTGGTCTGTCCTTGCTGGTATAGTTCAGTAACCCTCTCACCTGGTCTGTCCTTGTTGGTATAGTTCAGTAACCCTCTCACCTGGTCTGTCTCTGCTGGTATAGTTCAGTAACCCTCTCACCTGGTCTGTCCTTGCTGGTATAGTTCTGTAACCCTCTCACCTGGTCTGTCTCTGCTGGTATAGTTCAGTAACACTCTCACCTGGTCTGTCCTTGCTGGTATTGTTCAGTAACCCTTTCACCTGGTATGTCCTTGCTGGTATAGTTCAGTAACCCTCTCACCTGGTCTGTCTCTGCTGGTATAGTTCAGTAACACTCTCACCTGGTCTGTCCTTGCTGGTATAGTTCAGTAACCCTCTCACCTGGTATGTCCTTGCTGGTATAGTTCAGTAACCCTCTCACCTGGTCTGTCTCTGCTGGTATAGTTCAGTAACACTCTCACCTGGTCTGTCCTTGCTGGTATTGTTCAGTAACCCTTTCACCTGGTCTGTCCCACAGAGCCCTGGAGGTCCCGTCCACAGACTGTGTCCTGGAGGGGGGAGTACCCGTCAGTAAACTGGGAGGTCTCTCTCTTCCCTTCAAGTCTCCCCCACGAGAGGCTCTGCTCCTGCTGCGGAAGAACGGGTCAGAATTCCACTGCCGCGTAACTTACTAACAACAACTGCTGACCAGCTTTAGATCACTCTGGTCTCTCTCTCTCTCTCTGGTCTCTCTCTCTCTCTGGTCTCTCTCTCTCTCTGGTCTCTCTCTGGTCTCTCTCTCTCTCTGGTCTCTCTCTCTCTCTGGTCTCTCTCTGGTCTCTCTCTCTCTCTGGTCTCTCTCTCTTGTGTCTCTGGTGGCTCCTCTGTCTGTCCCGGGGCGGCTGTGGCTCCTGTGTCTGTCCCGGGGCGGCTGTGGCGGCTGTGTCTGACCTCGGTGTGCTCTCAGGTTCAGCTCGTCAGACATGGAGGAGGCTCTGGACAGGATGATTGACAGGTGTCGGACTTCAAACGTCACCGCGGTAACGACGGACGAGCTCAAGTCTCTGCTGCGACTGAAGGACGGAGAGGCGGCTTCAGCCATCTGCAAACTCTACTGCAAGGTAGACCAGGACCAGACCAGGACTGAGGCTGTAGGCCCAGGACTGAGGCTGTAGACCAGGACTGAGGCTGTAGACCAGGACTGAGGCTGTAGACCAGGACTGAGGCTGTAGACCCAGGACTGAGGCTGTAGACCCAGGACTGAGGCTGTAGGCCCAGGACTGAGGCTGTAGACCAGGACTGAGGCTGTAGACCAGGACTGAGGCTGTAGACCCAGGACTGAGGCTGTAGACCCAGGACTGAGGCTGTAGGCCCAGGACTGAGGCTGTAGACCAGGACTGAGGCTGTAGGCCCAGGACTGAGGCTGTAGACCCAGGACTGAGGCCGTAGACCAGGACTGAGGCTGTAGGCCCAGGACTGAGGCTGTAGACCAGGACTGAGGCTGTAGGCCCAGGACTGAGACTGTAGACCCAGGACTGAGGCTGTAGACCCAGGACTGAGGCTGTAGACCCAGGACTGAGGCTGTAGACCCAGGACTGAGGCTGTAGGCCCAGGACTGAGGCTGTAGACCAGGACTGAGGCTGTAGGCCCAGGACTGAGGCTGTAGACCAGGACTGAGGCTGTAGGCCCAGGACTGAGGCTGTAGACCAGGACTGAGGCTGTAGACCCAGGACTGAGGCCGTAGACCCAGGACTGAGGCTGTAGACCAGGACTGAGGCTGTAGACCAGGACTGAGGCTGTAGACCAGGACTGAGGCTGTAGACCAGGACTGAGGCTGTAGACCAGGACTGAGGCTGTAGGCCCAGGACTGAGGCTGTAGGCCCAGGACTGAGGCTGTAGACCCAGGACTGAGGCTGTAGACCCAGGACTGAGGCTGTAGACCCAGGACTGAGGCTGTAGACCCAGGACTGAGGCTGTAGACCCAGGACTGAGGCTGTAGACCAAGGACTGAGACTGTAGACCCAGGACTGAGGCTGTAGGCCCAGGACTGAGGCTGTAGACCAAGGACTGAGGCTGTAGACCAGGACTGAGGCTGTAGACCAGGACTGAGGCTGTAGACCAGGACTGAGGCTGTAGACCCAGGACTGAGGCTGTAGACCCAGGACTGAGGCTGTAGACCAGGACTGAGGCTGTAGACCCAGGACTGAGGCTGTAGACCCAGGACTGAGGCTGTAGGCCCAGGACTGAGGCTGTAGACCAGGACTGAGGCTGTAGGCCCAGGACTGAGGCTGTAGACCCAGGACTGAGGCCGTAGACCAGGACTGAGGCTGTAGGCCCAGGACTGAGGCTGTAGACCAGGACTGAGGCTGTAGGCCCAGGACTGAGACTGTAGACCCAGGACTGAGGCTGTAGCCCCAGGACTGAGGCTGTAGACCCAGGACTGAGGCTGTAGACCCAGGACTGAGGCTGTAGGCCCAGGACTGAGGCTGTAGACCAGGACTGAGGCTGTAGGCCCAGGACTGAGGCTGTAGACCAGGACTGAGGCTGTAGGCCCAGGACTGAGGCTGTAGACCAGGACTGAGGCTGTAGACCCAGGACTGAGGCCGTAGACCCAGGACTGAGGCCGTAGACCCAGGACTGAGGCTGTAGACCAGGACTGAGGCTGTAGACCAGGACTGAGGCTGTAGACCAGGACTGAGGCTGTAGACCAGGACTGAGGCTGTAGACCAGGACTGAGGCTGTAGGCCCAGGACTGAGGCTGTAGGCCCAGGACTGAGGCTGTAGACCCAGGACTGAGGCTGTAGACCCAGGACTGAGGCTGTAGACCCAGGACTGAGGCTGTAGACCCAGGACTGAGGCTGTAGACCCAGGACTGAGGCTGTAGACCAAGGACTGAGACTGTAGACCCAGGACTGAGGCTGTAGGCCCAGGACTGAGGCTGTAGACCAAGGACTGAGGCTGTAGACCAGGACTGAGGCTGTAGACCAGGACTGAGGCTGTAGACCAGGACTGAGGCTGTAGACCCAGGACTGAGGCTGTAGACCCAGGACTGAGGCTGTAGACCAGGACTGAGGCTGTAGACCAGGACTGAGGCTGTAGACCCAGGACTGAGGCTGTAGACCCAGGACTGAGGCTGTAGACCCAGGACTGAGGCTGTAGACCTGTAGACCAGGACTGAGGCTGTAGACCTGTAGACCAGGACTGAGGCTGTAGACCAGGACTGAGGCTGTAGGCCCAGGACTGAGGCTGTAGGCCCAGGACTGAGGCTGTAGACCCAGGACTGAGGCTGGTCTCTCTCCTCCTGGCTGGACTCTCTCCTCCTGACTGGTCTCTCTCCTCCTGACTGGTCTCTCTCCTCTCATGACTGCTCTCTCTCCTCCTGACTGCTCTCTCTCCTCCTGACTGCTCTCTCTCCTCCTGACTGCTCTCTCTCCTCCTGACTGGTCTCTCTCCTCTCATGACTGCTCTCTCTCCTCCTGACTGCTCTCTCTCCTCCTGACTGGTCTCTCTCCTCCTGACTGGTCTCTCTCCTCCTGACTGGTCTCTCTCCTCCTGACTGGTCTCTCTCCTCTCATGACTGCTCTCTCTCCTCCTGACTGCTCTCTCTCCTCCTGACTGGTCTCTCTCCCCCTGACTGGTCTCTCTCCTCCTGACTGCTCTCTCTCCTCCTGACTGGTCTCTCTCCTCCTGACTGGTCTCTCTCCCCCTGACTGGTCTCTCTCCTCCTGACTGGTCTCTCTCCTCCTCTCTGGTATCTCTCCTGACTGGTCTCTCTCCTCTCATGACTGCTCTCTCTCCTCATGACTGCTCTCTCTCCTCCTGACTGGTCTCTCTCCCCCTGACTGGTCTCTCTCCTCCTGACTGGTCTCTCTCCTCCTCTCTGGTATCTCTCCTGACTAGTCTCTCTCCTCTCATGACTGCTCTCTCTCCTCCTGACTGGTCTCTCTCCTCCTGACTGGTCTCTCTCCTCCTGACTGGTCTCTCTCCCCCTGACTGGTCTCTCTCCCCCTGACTGGTCTCTCTCCCCCTGACTGGTCTCTCTCCTCCTGACTGCTCTCTCTCCTCCTGACTGGTCTCTCTCCTCCTGACTGGTCTCTCTCCTCTCATGACTGCTCTCTCTCCTCCTGACTGCTCTCTCTCCTCCTGACTGGTCTCTCTCCCCCTGACTGCTCTCTCTCCTCCTGACTGCTCTCTCTCCTCCTGACTGGTCTCTCTCCTCCTGACTGGTCTCTCTCCCCCTGACTGGTCTCTCTCCTCCTGACTGGTCTCTCTCCTCCTCTCTGGTATCTCTCCTGACTGGTCTCTCTCCTCTCATGACTGCTCTCTCTCCTCATGACTGCTCTCTCTCCTCCTGACTGGTCTCTCTCCCCCTGACTGGTCTCTCTCCTCCTGACTGGTCTCTCTCCTCCTCTCTGGTATCTCTCCTGACTGGTCTCTCTCCTCTCATGACTGCTCTCTCTCCTCCTGACTGGTCTCTCTCCTCCTGACTGGTCTCTCTCCCCCTGACTGGTCTCTCTCCTCCTGACTGGTCTCTCTCCTCCTCTCTGGTATCTCTCCTGACTGGTCTCTCTCCTCTCATGACTGCTCTCTCTCCTCCTGACTGGTCTCTCTCCTCCTGACTGGTCTCTCTCCTCCTGACTGGTCTCTCTCCTCCTGACTGGTCTCTCTCCCCCTGACTGGTCTCTCTCCCCCTGACTGGTCTCTCTCCCCCTGACTGGTCTCTCTCCTCCTGACTGCTCTCTCTCCTCCTGACTGGTCTCTCGCCCCCTGACTGGTCTCTCTCTCCTCAGGGCTCGTCTGTGGATCTCCGGCAGGTCTACCTCGGTCTCGCTGCGGTCTCTGGGTCTGTGCCGTTCAGATCCCTGCTGCACACGGCCTTCACTGTGAGTAAACAGGATTTTAATGGTTTTTATTCATATTTTATTTATTGATAATAAAAAGTTGCGATTGTTGTTTTTGTGCTTTCCGGCTGTGGAGAGAGAGAAACGCTGCTGATGCTGTGTTTTTGAACTGAATGTTAATTATGTCAGAAAGATTATCGGACTCTCTGGGCTCAGAGCTGATTGGCTCAGAGCTGATTGGCTGAGAGCTGATTGGCTGAGAGCTGATTGGCTGAGGGAGGGGGTTCCTCTCTTTGTCACTTTTCTGTCTGAAAAAAACGGATGTAAAGATGTGACAGAGACAGAAACACAAGTGACAACTAGTGATAGAACTTCTCTGGTCCCTCCCTGTCACTGATCTTTCTGCTCTCTCTCTCTCTGTTCTCTCTCTGTTCTCTCTCTGGTCTCTCTCTCTCTCTCTCTTTCTCTTTTTCTCTTTCTCTGTTCTCTCTCTGTTCTCTCTCTCTCTCTCTCTCTCTGTTCTCTCTCTCTGTTCTCTCTCTCTCTCTGGTCTCTCTCTGGTCTCTCTCTCTCTCCCTCTCTCTCTCTCTCTCTGTTCTCTCTCGGTCTCTCTTTCTGGTGTCTCTCTGTCTCTGTCTGGTAAAGGTGCACTTTACTAATCCCCGTCGGGCACTTCCTCCTCTGTATTTGACCCTGATGCCCTAAGGCTGACGTCAGGAGCAGTGGTCGCCGTAGTAACAGCGCCCGAGAACCATCTCCAGATGTTGATGCTCTGGGTCAGGACCAGAGCTGGAGGATTTAACCTGAGCATGTTTTTAGTGGTAGGGGAAACCGGAGCACCCGGAGGAAACCTGAACAGGGAGAACATGCAAACTCCACTCTGAAAGAACCTGTTCTGACTGGGATTTGAACCCAGAACCTTCTTGCTGAGAAGCAGCCACCGTGAGACCAGAGAGAGACCAGCTAGGGTCTCTCTCTGGTCTCTGCCATCTTTGCTCTCTCACTTTTCTGTCTGAAAAGCTCGTCTGAAGATGTGACTGAGCCCAAACACGTGAAAACTAGTGACAGAAGAAATAGTTCTAGTCTGAAAGTTTCTTTGTGTGTTTCTGAAAGTTTCGTACCTGAGCTTTATCTTTGTGTGTTTCTGAAAGTTTCGTACCTGAGCTTTATCTTTGTGTGTTTCTGAAAGTTTCGTACCTGAGCTTTATCTCTGTGTGCTCAGATGTTCGATGCAGACGGCAGCGGCAGCCTGAGTGCAGTGCAGCTGTCTGACCTGATGGGGGCGCTGCTGGGCCTCTCTCAGCACAACACTGCAGAGCTCTACAGCGCCACCTGCTGCAGCGACGCCCTCACTGAAGGTATGACACCAGAGAGAGACCAGAGAGAGAGACCAGAGAGAGAGACCAGAGAGAGAGACCAGAGAGAGAGACCAGAGAGAGAGACCAGAGAGAGAGAGACCAGAGAGAGAGACCAGAGAGAGAGAGACCAGAGAGAGAGAGACCAGAGAGAGAGAGACCAGAGAGAGAGACCAGAGAGAGAGACCAGAGAGAGAGACCAGAGAGGGTTGTGTGCGTCCATGTTTGCATCCCTGTGTGTGTCTTTGTGCGTCCATGTGTGTGTCTTTGTGTGTGTCCATGTGTGTGTCATCTCTAACCCCGCCCCCTCCCCTCTACAGACGCCCTGTGTGTGTCCATGTGTGTGTCCGTGTGTTTCCATGTGTGTGTCCATGTGTGTGTCCGTGTGTTTCCATGTGTGTTTCCATGTGTGTGTCCATGTGTGTGTCCCTGTGTGTGTCCATGTGTGTGTCTTTGTGTGTGTCCATGTGTGTGTCCTCTCTAACCCCGCCCCCTCCCCTCTACAGACGCCCTGTGTGTGTCCATGTGTGTGTCCATGTGTGTGTCCATGTGTGTGTCCGTGTGTGTCCGTGTGTGTCCATGTGTGTGTCCATGTGTGTGTCTCCATGTGTTTGTCTTTGTGTGTGTCCTCTCTAACCCCGCCCCCTCCCCTCTGCAGACTCCCTGTGTGTGTCCATGTGTGTGTCCTTGTGTGTGTCTTTGTGTGTGTCCTCTCTCTAACCCTGCCCCCTCCCCTCTGCAGACGCCATGTGTGTGTCCATGTGTGTGTCCATGAGTGTGTCCATGAGTGTGTCCATGAGTGTGTCCATGAGTGTGTCCATGAGTGTGTCTCTGTGTGTGTCCTTGTGTGTGTCCATGTGTGTGTCTTTGTGTGTATCCTCTCTAACCCCGCCCCCTCCCCTCTGCAGACGCCCTGTGTGTGTCCATGTGTGTGTCCTTGTGTGTGTCCTTGTGTGTGTCCATGTGTGTGTCCATGTGTGTGTCCATGTGTGTGTCCATGTGTGTGTCCTTGTGTGTGTCCTTGTGTGTGTCCATGTGTGTGTCCATGTGTGTGTCCATGTGTGTGTCCATGTGTGTGTGTCTCTGTGTGTGTCCATGTGTGTGTCCTTGTGTTTGTCCATGTGTGTGTCCATGTGTGTGTCCATGAGTGTGTCCATGAGTGTGTCCATGAGTGTGTCCATGAGTGTGTCCATGAGTGTGTCCATGAGTGTGTCTCTGTGTGTGTCCTTGTGTGTGTCCATGTGTGTGTCTTTGTGTGTATCCTCTCTAACCCCGCCCCCTCCCCTCTGCAGACGCCCTGTGTGTGTCCATGTGTGTGTCCATGTGTGTGTCCATGTGTATGTCTTTGTGTGTGTGTCCTTGTGTGTGTCCATGTGTGTGTCCATGTGTGTGTCCTTGTGTTTGTCCATGTGTGTGTCCATGTGTGTGTCCATGTGTATGTCCATGTGTGTGTCCATGTGTGTGTCCATGTGTATGTCTTTGTGTGTGTGTCCTTGTGTGTGTCCATGTGTGTGTCCTTGTGTGTGTCCATGTGTGTGTCCATGTGTGTGTCCATGTGTGTGTCCATGTGTATGTCCATGTGTGTGTCCTCTCTAACCCCGCCCCCTCCTCTCTGCAGACGCTCTGTTGCGAGCGCTGACGCTGCATCCGACCTATCACAGAGTGAGCACCGAGCACCTGCAGCCGGAGGAGGCGGGCTCTCAGCTGTCAATCACCGCCCTCCGCCATGGCAACGCGGTCAACAACAACAAGAGCGTCGCCAACGGAAACGGGAGCCTGCAGTCGAAGAAATGGGACTAACACATTTGTACAAATCTACAGACACTGTTTTTATTTATGTTTTAATTTTTAATGTAAAGGGAAGGAATATTTTTATAACTTTTATATTTAATATGTGATAATAAAACAGATTTATTTTACACTCATCTGTCGTCTGATTCCACTGGAGACCAGAGAGAAACCAGCAAGAGAGAGACCAGAGAGAGACCAGCAAGACAGAGACCAGAGAGACAGAGACCAGAGAGACAGAGACCAGAGAGAGACCAGAGCGAGAGAGACCAGAGAGAGAGACCAGAGAGAGAGACCAGAGAGAGACCAGAGAGAGAGACCAGAGAGAGACCAGAGAGAGACCAGAGAGAGACCAGAGAGAGACCAGAGAGAGACCAGAGAGAGACCAGAGAGAGACCAGAGAGAGACCAGAGAGAGACCAGAGCGAAAGACCAGAGAGAGACCAGAGAGAGAGACCAGACAGAGAGACCAGAGAGAGAGACCAGAGAGAGACCAGAGAGAGAGACCAGACAGAGAGACCACAGAGAGAGACCAGAGAGAGAGACCAGACAGAGAGACCAGAGAGAGACCAGAGAGACCAGCGAGAGACCAGAGAGAGACCAGAGAGAGAGACCAGAGAGAGAGACCAGAGAGAGAGACCAGACAGAGAGACCAGAGAGAGACCAGAGAGACCAGCGAGAGACCAGAGAGAGACCAGAGAGAGAGACCAGAGAGAGAGACCAGAGAGACCAGAGCGAGAGACCAGAGAGAGAGACCAGAGAGAGAGACCAGAGAGAGACCAGAGAGAGAGACCAGACAGAGAGACCAGAGAGAGACCAGAGAGACCAGCGAGAGACCAGAGAGAGACCAGAGAGAGAGACCAGAGAGAGAGACCAGAGAGACCAGAGCGAGAGACCAGAGAGAGACCAGAGAGAGACCAGAGAGAGAGACCAGAGAGAGACCAGAGAGAGAGACCAGAGAGAGACCAGAGAGAGAGACCAGAGAGAGACACTAGTACACATGAATCAGGAGTCTCCAACCTTTTTCAATCAGAGCTACTTTTACACAACAGAAGAGGCAGAGAGCTACTCCTTTTTGCAGTCGTAATAAAAATATAATTAGGACGAAACGTGTAAAATGTTCCATAATGTTCCATAATGTTCCATAATACTGTAAAACCCTATGTTTACACTCATATTAGACTTGTAACGGCTCAATGTATTCATTCATTTGTTCAATTCTAAATCCTTTGACAAGCTACCTGAAAAGGGCTGGCGAGCTACTGGTAGCTCCCGAGCCACAGGTTGGAGACCCCTGACATGGATCAGGACTAGAGCAGGGTTAGAACAAAGGTTAGAACAAAGGGTTAGAACAAAGGGTTAGAACAAAGGGTTAGAACAAAGGGTTAGAACAAAGGGTAAGAACAAAGGGTTAGAACAAAGGGTAAGAACAAAGGGTTAGAACAAAGGGTAAGAACAAAGGGTTAGAACAAAGGGTAAGAACAAAGGGTTAGAACAAAGGGTAAGAACAAAGGGTAAGAACAAAGGGTAAGAACAAAGGTTAAGAACAAAGGGTAAGAACAAAGGGTAAGAACAAAGGGTTAGAACAAAGGGTTAGAACAAAAGGTTAGAACAAAGGGTTAGAACAAAGATTAGAACAAAGGGTAAGAACAAAGGGTTAGAACAAAGGGTAAGAACAAAGGGTAAGAACAAAGGGTTAGAACAAAGGGTTAGAACAAAGGGTAAGAACAAAGGGTAAGAACAAAGGTTAGAACAAAGGGTTAGAACAAAGGGTTAGAACAAAGATTAGAACAAAGGGTAAGAACAAAGGGTTAGAACAAAGGGTAAGAACAAAGGGTTAGAACAAGGGTTAGAACAAAGGGTTAGAACAAAGGGTTAGAACAAAAGGTTAGAACAAAGGGTTAGAACAAAGATTAGAACAAAGGGTAAGAACAAAGGGTTAGAACAAAGGGTAAGAACAAAAGGTAAGAACAAAGGGTAAGAACAAAGGGTAAGAACAAAAGGTAAGAACAAAGGGTAAAAACAAAGGGTTAGAACAAAGGGTTAGAACAAAGGGTTAGAACAAAAGGTTAGAACAAAGGGTTAGAACAAAGGGTAAGAACAAAGGGTTAGAACAAAAGGTTAGAACAAAGGGTTAGAACAAAAGGTTAGAACAAAGGGTTAGAACAAAGGGTAAGAACAAAGGGTTAGAACAAAAGGTTAGAACAAAGGGTTAGAACAAAGGGTTAGAACAAAGATTAGAACAAAGGGTAAGAACAAAGGGTTAGAACAAAAGGTTAGAACAAAGGGTAAGAACAAAGGGTAAGAACAAAGGGTGAGAACAAAGGGTTAGAACAAAGGGTTAGAACAAAGGGTAAGAACAAAGGGTAAGAACAAAGGTTAGAACAAAGGCTTAGAACAAAGATTAGAACAAAGGGTAAGAACAAAGGGTTAGAACAAAGGGTAAGAACAAAGGGTAAGAACAAAGGGTTAGAACAAAGGGTTAGAACAAAGGGTAAGAACAAAGGGTAAGAACAAAGGGTAAGAACAAAGGGTAAGAACAAAGGGTTAGAACAAAGGGTTAGAACAAAGGGTTAGAACAAAGGGTTAGAACAAAAGGTTAGAACAAAGGGTTAGAACAAAGGGTTAGAACAAAGATTAGAACAAAGGGTAAGAACAAAGGGTTAGAACAAAGGGTAAGAACAAAAGGTAAGAACAAAGGGTAAGAACAAAGGGTAAGAACAAAAGGTAAGAACAAAGGGTAAAAACAAAGGGTAAGAACAAAGGGTAAGAACAAAGGGTTAGAACAAAGGGTTAGAACAAAGGGTTAGAACAAAAGGTTAGAACAAAGGGTTAGAACAAAGGGTTAGAACAAAGATTAGAACAAAGGGTAAGAACAAAGGGTTAGAACAAAGGGTAAGAACAAAAGGTTAGAACAAAGGGTTAGAACAAAAGGTTAGAACAAAGGGTTAGAACAAAGGGTAAGAACAAAGGGTTAGAACAAAGGGTAAGAACAAAGGGTTAGAACAAAGGGTTAGAACAAAGGGTAAGAACAAAGGGTAAGAACAAAGGTTAGAACAAAGGGTTAAAACAAAGGGTAAGAACAAAGGGTAAGAACAAAGGTTAGAACAAACGGTAAGAACAAAGGGTAAGAACAAAGGTTAGAACAAAGGGTTAGAACTAAGGGTAAGAACAAAGGGTAAGAACAAAGGGTAAGAACAAAGGGTTAGAACAAAGGGTTAGAACAAAGGGTTAGAACAAAGGGTTAGAACAAAAGGTTAGAACAAAGGGTTAGAACAAAGGGTTAGAACAAAGATTAGAACAAAGGGTTAGAACAAAGGTTTAGAACAAATGGTTAGAACAAAGGGTAAGAACAAAGGGTAAGAACAAAGGGTAAGAACAAAGGGTTAGAACAAAGGGTTAGAACAAAGGGTTAGAACAAAGGGTAAGAACAAAGGGTTAGAACAAAGGTTAGAACACAGGGTTAGAACAAAGGGTAAGAACAAATCGTTAAAAAAAGGGTTAGAACAAAGGGTTAGAACAAAGGGTAAGAACAAAGGGTTAGAACAAAGGTTAGAACAAAGGGTAAGAACAAAGGGTAAGAACAAAGGGTTAGAACAAAGGTTAGAACAAAGGGTTAGAACAAAGGGTAAGAACAAAGGTTAGAACAAAGGGTTAGAACAAAGGGTTAAAACAAAAGGTAAGAACAAAGGTTAGAACAAAAGGTAAGAACAAAGGGTAAGAACAAAGGGTTAGAACAAAGGGTTAGAACAAAGGTTAGAACAAAGGGTTAGAACAAAGGGTTAGAACAAAGGGTTAGAACAAAGGGTAAGAACAAAGGGTAAGAACAAAGGGTAAGAACAAAGGGTTAAAACAAAGAGTTAGAACAAAGGGTTAGAACAAAGGGTTAGAACAAAGGGTTAGAACAAAGGGTAAGAACAAAGGGTTAGAACAAAGGGTTAGAACAAAGGGTTAGAACAAAGGGTAAGAACAAAGGGTTAGAACAAAGGGTTAGAACAAAGGGTAAGAACAAAGGGTTAGAACAAAGGGTAAGAACAAAGGGTAAGAACAAAGGGTAAGAACAAAGGGTTAGAACAAAGGGTAAGAACAAAGGGTAAGAACAAAGGTTAGAAAAAAGGGTTAGAACAAAGGGTTAGAACAAAGGGTAAGAACAAAGGGTTAGAACAAAGGGTAAGAACAAAGGTTAGAAAAAAGGGTTAGAACAAAGGGTAAGAACAAAGGGTTAGAACAAAGGGTTAGAACAAAGGGTAAGAACAAAGGGTTAGAACAAAGGTTAGAACACAGGGTTAGAACAAAGGGTAAGAACAAAGGGTTAAAAAAAGGGTTAGAACAAAGGGTAAGAACAAAGGGTTAGAACAAAGGTTAGAACAAAGGGTAAGAACAAAGGGTAAGAACAAAGGGTTAGAACAAAGGTTAGAACAAAGGGTTAGAACAAAGGGTAAGAACAAAGGTTAGAACAAAGGGTTAGAACAAAGGGTTAAAACAAAAGGTAAGAACAAAGGTTAGAACAAAAGGTAACAAAGGGTAAGAACAAAGGGTAAGAACAAAGGGTTAGAACAAAGGGTTAGAACAAAGGTTAGAACAAAGGGTTAGAACAAAGGGTTAGAACAAAGGGTTAGAACAAAGGGTTAGAACAAAGGGTAAGAACAAAGGGTAAGAACAAAGGGTTAGAACAAAGGGTTAGAACAAAGGGTTAGAACAAAGGGTAAGAACAAAGGGTTAAAACAAAGGGTTAGAACAAAGGGTAAGAACAAAGGGTAAGAACAAAGGGTTAGAACAAAGGGTTAGAACAAAGGGTTAGAACAAAGGGTAAGAACAAAGGGTTAGAACAAAGGGTTAGAACAAAGGGTTAGAACAAAGGGTAAGAACAAAGGGTTAGAACAAAGGTTAGAACAAAGGGTAAGAACAAAGGGTAAGAACAAAGGGTTAGAACAAAGGTTAGAACAAAGGGTTAGAACAAAGGGTAAGAACAAAGGTTAGAACAAAGGGTTAGAACAAAGGGTTAAAACAAAA